ATTACAAATATATATAATACACAATAAATATATAATATAAATCTATAATATATAAAAATATATATTGCCTTGCTGTCATTATATATATATATATATATACACATATATGTGGGGTTGTTTTTTTGCTTTGGAGGAGAACCCTATAGAAAAGAAGCAGAGAAGTTCAGGTGGGAGAGAAAAGTAAGTGTCCAAAATTGCCAGTGTAGGAGGGTGGGGGGAACTTTTGTAAGAGCAGCTGTGCCAGCTCAAAGGGGTTTGTCTCTAAGAGGGAAGTTTTTTTTTTTATTATTAAAAAAATTTTTTTAATAGTGAGACATCATGAGGTACAGTTGCAGACTTACACATTTTTGTGCTTGGGTTTCAATTATACAATGACCAAATACCATCCCTCCACCAGTGCCCACTTCCTACCACCATGCATCCCAGTGTCCCTCCCACACCCCATCCCCCCCATCCTACCCTGGCTCTGTGGCAGGGCATTCCCCTCTGTTCTCTCTCTCCTTTTGGGTGTTGTGGTTTGCAAAAGAAACACTGAGTGGCAATCATGTTTGGTCTATAGTCTACTTTCAGCATGCTTCTCTCATCCTGGGAGGGTCCTCCCAACACCTTTATTTGGTGTTCCTCTAAGAGGGAAGTTTTTGGGTGCTCTCTTGGGCTGCACTGCAGACAGAAAAAATAACCTCAGGCCAGAGAGAAAGTATAAGGGTTAAGGCAACCAACCCCAGCATCCCCTATGTTCCACTGAGCTCCCACCAGCAGTGACCCTTGAGCGCAGAAACAAGAGTAAGTTCTGAGAACGGCAGAGTATAGCCCCCAATCCAAAAATGATAATAATAAAATTTAGACAATAATAAAAAAAAAACAATAGGGCTAGACAGTATAGTGGATATGTCCCATGCCTTACATGCGGTCAACCCGGATTGGATCCTCAGCCCCATTCAGCCCCACCAGGAGTGACCCCTGAGTGCAGAACCAATATGCTTTGAGCATATTCCTTGACCACTGCTGGGTGTGTCCCCCAATGGGAAAATATATATACATACTATATATATGTGTGTGTGTATATATATACATATGTGTGTGTGTGTGTATATATATATATGTATATATATATATATATATTGCTGGTGAGAGAAAATCACGATGAGCTGTAGATACGTTCCCCACAATGGGGCAGCTGTCTCCTCCTCACTCTCTGGATGTTTGTTGAACTCAGAGGAGTGAGGGAGGAAGATAGGATGTGCCCAGAGCCTAGGTCCTCTTGGCCTTGACCAAGTGGTTTGGTGTGGGTGTCCTGTGTGGCTCTCTTCAAACGAAGGGCTTTCCAGGCATGGGCAAAAATGCACCAAGGGTTCTAGATGTATGACTTTCACATGTGGGCTATTTCTGCCATTCTCAGCCTGGGATAAACCCGCAGCAAACTCACCCTCCTCTGTCCTCCCACCTAGGCTTGCAATGCATGCCCTTCCCTCTGTCACCTCTCCCAGGACGTGTCTGGAGGGACACACTTTACTCTCTATGCTATTACCTGCAGCCCACTGACAACTGGTTCATCCATCTTCCCTTCCCTCCAAAGCCTGGACAGGGTAATGAGGAGCTCTCGGGGTCCTTGAGGATAGGAACACACTTGCTTCTGCGTAGACCCTCATGTCACTGGTCCCCACCCCTGGCATCTAAAGACAACAGAGATCTTTTGCAGAGGGAAAAAGCCTCCCCCTGAGATCTGTTTCTTTGGTGCAGAATTTATCTAATTTATCTTTATCTAATGCAGCTTTTCTTTTTTGCTTTTGAGACCTGAGTTCGATCTCTGGCACCATATAAGGTCGCCCAGCCCCATCAAGTGGCACTGGTGGAGGGATGGATACTCGATCATTGTATGACTGAAACGTAAGCATGAAAGTTTGTATGTCTGTAACTGTACCTCATGGTGATTCATTAAAAAAATTTTTTTAAAAAGTGAGCCTTGAATACGGAGACAGAAGTAAGGCCATAACACCACCAGGTGTGTGTCCCCACCACACACACACACACACACAGATAAACAAATATAAGACTGTTCAAACGTAGAGGTAGAAAAATGTCCAGCTTGAGATCAACACACACTGATGATTTGTAAATGAAGCTTCTTTGTTTTTTTTTAATTTTTATTTTATTTTATTTATTTATTTTTTGGACCCAGGCGGGTCTCAGGCACACAGAGCATGAGCACGGACTGTTGAGTCATACTGCAGGCCCTGGTGAAATGAATTATTTTGCACATTGGACTCTGGAGTTTCTCCACACTTCGTGTTCCAATGGGCACTCTTTCAACTGAGAGCTGCTCCCCACCCCTTTTTTTTGCTTTTTGGGTCACACTCAGCAATGCTCGGGGACTACTCCTGGCAGTGCCTGGGGGACCATATCGGATGCTGGGAACTGAACCCAGGTTGGCCGCGCATGCGAGGCTGACTCTCTCCCTGCTGTACTATTGCTCTGGCCCCCTGGGAGCTGCTTTTACAGCTTTTCTGTCTTAAACACAGAGCCAGAGGGGCATCTGAGTGCAGCAGAGAACAAACTGGTCTAGCTCTATTTTAGCTCTGTGCCATCCATTGCAGCGTTTGGATGGAGGTGAAAAAGAGAGACAGAAGAGTGGAAATACTGGCACGCAGAAATGAGGATGAAAGAAGTTCTAGGTAGGTTTAGTACATCCATATGATGGAATACTATTCAGCAATTTTTTTTTTTTTTGCTTTTTTGGGTCACACCTGGCGAGGCACAGGGATTACTCCTGGCTGTGCACTCAGGAGTTACACCTGGCGGTGCTCAGGGGACCATATGGGATGCTGGGAATCGAACCCGGGTAGGCAGTGTGCAAGGCAAACGCCCTACCCACTGTGCTCTCTCTCCAGCCACAACTATTTAGCAATTATTTTTAAAAATGCACTATGGGGGCTGGAGCGAGAGCACAGCGGGTAGGGCGTTTGCCCTGCACGCGGCCGACCCGGGTTCGATTCCCAGCATCCCATATGGTCCCCTGAGCACTGCCAGGAGTAATTCCTGAGTGTAGAGCCAGGAGTAACCCCTGTGCCTTGCCGGGTGTAACCCAAAAAGCAAAAAAAAAAAAAAATGCACTATGTCACATATAACAGGAATGAATCGTCTCAAGGCAATGCAGGGTGAAAGACACCATACACCATCCCTCGCTCCCCAAAGGACATATTACTGCATGTTTCATTTGAATCAAATTCTAGGGAAAGCAAACTTAGTATTCAAGACAACAAAAAACAGAGTATATGTAGTGGAGACAAGGACAGAACCAAGAAGTGAGGGTGATTACAACGGGTTTTGGGGATATTTTCACTGGAGATGGAAATGTTTATTATTATTGTTATTATTAATTGGTTGGGCTGGAGCAATAGCACAGCGGTAGGGTGTTTGCCTTGCAAGTGACTAACATGGCCGACCCGAGTTCGATTCCTCCGCCCCTCTCGGAGAGCCCGGCAAGCTACCGAGAGTATCTCGCCCTCGCGGCAGAGCCTGGCAAGCTACCCCTGACGTACTGGATATGCCAAACACAGTAACAATAAGTCTCACGATGGAGATGTTACTGGGCCTGCTCGAGCAAATTGATGAACAATGGGAGGACCGTGATACCGTGATTATTAATTGGTATCTGGGTCACACCTGGTAGTGCTCAGGGCTTATTTCTGTGCTCAGGGATCACTCATAGTGGGGTTTAGGTGACTAGATGGTGGCAGGGACCAAATGTAGATCTACTGTGTGCAAGTCCTTAACCCTGTCCTCTTTCTTCTGCCCCATGTTCATTGTTTTTATGGCAGTGATCATTTGACAGCCATGACAAAAGTATCAACCAGGTACTACATAGTATGTCGATCATAGCTCAATAAAGCTGTGGGCTGAATCAACACCAGGCCTTTACAAGTGCAGAGAGAAGGAAAGCAGAGAAGCGTTCATTGTGGGTTGAATGAACAGAAAGCAGATTAAGGTGCAGAAGAAACGCTAGATGTTTAATAATTTCATGCTTATTAAATTTAGATGTTAGCTGTTTAATAAACTCACCAGATGAATGAATGAGACTAATAACCTAATAACTGTGTCGCGTTACGATCTGTATACAGCTCTGCACTAGATCAGGGAATTAAAAACAACGACCAAAAAAAAAAAAAATCTGTGCTCCCGGAGCTCTGAGGACAGCCCGACAACGAAAAGAATGAAAATCACAGAAGGTGCTAGACGGGTTGCCAAGGCGAGAAAATACTGGCCAGTGTGGAGTGGGGGCGGGGTGTGGGGGAAGACGGGGCTTGCAGGAGCGTGACTTTTCATTTCATGATTTTGGGGACTTTTTTTTTGAGGGTGACATCTAAGGGGTGACACTTCCGATCTGCCGGAAGCGGAGTGTGCGTGTGTGTGCGTGTGTGCGCGCGCGCGCCAGGAGGTGCCCTGCCTTCCAAAAGACCCACGCAAGATTCCATCCCCAGAACCGCGCGTCTGATGCCCCGAGTTCCGCCGGGAGGGACCCGGGAGCGCAGGGCCAGAGCAAGCCCGGAGCAGCGCCCAGGAGGGACAAACACAACGACACATGCACAACAAACCAACCAGCCAACCCCCCCAAAGCCCCCAATCTGCTGGATCTGGGCGGACCCGCAGGGGAGTCCCGGTCGCGGCGGCCGCGCGGGGCGTGCGGGGTCCCGGAGCGAGGGGCTCGGCGGCGGCGGCGGCGGCGGGGCGGAGCGCGGGGACCCACCCGCGCCGCGCCGCGCCGGGAACTCGCGCCGCCCGCGCCGCCCTGCGTGGGCACGCGCAGAAACCGCCGGGCGGCGTCGGTTTTCCGGCCCACGCGCGGCCGCGGCGTGCGGGGCGCGGGCGGCGCGTGCGCAGCGCCGAGGCGGGGGCGCCCGGGGGCGGGGCGGGGCGGCGCGGGCGGGCGGGCGCGGGCGGCGGCGCTGACTCCCGAGCCGCGGCGGCGCGGGCCGGGAAACCGAAAGCGGGCGGCGGCGGCGGCCGCGGAGGCGGCGGCGGCGGAGGGGCGGCGGCGGCAGCGGCGGCAGCGGCGGCGGGGGCTGGGCCTGGCGGCGCGGGGACGGGCCGTGGGGCCCCCGGAGCGAGGTGAGCGGCGCTGCGGCGTCGGCGGCGGCGGCGGCGGCGGCGGCGGCAGCGGCGGCGGCGGCGGCGGCGGCGGCTCGGGGGGCGCGACAGGTGCGGGGCGGGCGGGGAATTGGGCGGCCCCCCGACCCCACGCCCGGGGACCGCGGCCCCCGCTGCAGCCCCCTCCCTCCCGGGCGCGGCGACAGCGGGGAGTTGGAGTTCCAGAGCGTTGGGCTTTAAACCTCGCCGGGACGGGCCGGAGCCCGCAGCGCCGCGACCCTCGGGGCGACTGCGGGCCGCTGCGGGTAGCGACTCCCGGGCCAGGGCAGGCGGGCCGCCGCCCCCCGACCCCCGTGCCCACCGTCGTCCCAGCTCCAGGCTGTCCGGACTCCCCCCGCAGTGGACACGTCCGGAGCTGGAAGGCCTGGCCGGACGGCGGTGGGGAGTAGGGGGGCCCGGCCGTGCAGAATGCCAGCACTGTGCCCGTTCCTTTTCATCCCGGAGCCGGCGGGAGCCCCCTCCTCCCCCGCCCCCCACCCACCCACCTACTCGGGCCGGGCCAGGAGCCACCCCCACCCCACCCCCCACCGCGGGAATTAATTGCTCCCAAACCTCTATCAGGATCACTTGGCCCGCAGAGCCCTCCCCGCTTCGAGGACCCCCGCGTCCAAGTGTCAGATGAAGGGGAGGGGGCTGGAGCCGCGCACAACTTTTCATCCACGTGCCGGGTGGAGGCTTGTGTGTGTGTGTGTGTGTGTGTGTGTATGTTGGTAGAATACATTTTCATGAATCAATTAGCCGGGGCACCGTTCGCAAACCAGCGCCCCAGAACAGGAAAAGGAAATGTTAAAAAAAAAAAGTAACCCCAACCACCCCGGCAATCCGAAAGATTCTGACAGTCGCCCAACAGAACCCCAGACACAGCGCCCACCCACCCACGGAGGGATCCGTGCCCTCCCCCCACTCCCACCTTTCCAGCCTCTCTTCCTCCTCCACACACACACACACACACACACACACACACACACACACACACACACACACACACCCTTACAACACAACATCCTGGAGGTGGAAAAGCCGCACAGGAGAGTGCACTCGCGGTACCCCCTACTCCTGGACCAGTGGTGTGCCCTGCAGAAAGGAGGAAGTGGACTCTGGGCTTCTCCGGGCACTGACCAATCGGTACTGTGGACTTGAGCAACTGACCGCTTTTCTTGGAGCCTGGCTTTCTGTGTGTGAAAGGGATTAACAGCAAAACGAAACTCATTCTGCCCGGTTTTGCAGTGGCACCTACGGTGACTCTCTGGCTCCTAATAATAGTAGTTGGGAGTTGTCAACTCCCTCCCACCACACTGCCCCCTAATTTTTCGGGATTGACTTTCAGTTTCTTACAGACTGGGGGACACATCTTTTTTAAGTTGTCTTGTAGTTTCAGTTGGCACATTGGTGGTGGCCTTTTTTTTTTTTTCTTTTGGCTGTTCCCCCAGCTGACCTTCAGTTAGCATCACTTAAGTCACTTAAGTGCAGTGCTGGGCTGGATGGAGGGAACTGCGCTTGGGAGCAGCTAGACTATAACCTACTGACTCCTGCCTGGGTGCAGGGCATTCCAGGGCGTTTGGTGGCACTCAGACTCCCCGTGCCAGTTAAGTGGTGAGACTGTAAGGCAGCCGTTTGTGCCTTCCACACTCAGTCCCCGTAGAAGTGAAAGGTAATCCTTGCTAATGCTCTTTTAAATGTCCTGCTTGAACGGAGCTGAAGGAACAATTGGATTTTTGTATCAAGAGTTAAACCCCTTGAAGGACTTCTCTTGAAATTCCCTGCGCATTCTAATCTAGATGGAGGTGTATGTGGCCGCAAAGGAAATAAAAAAAAAAAAAACCACTGTATAATCCAGGTTGTGTTGGATCAAGAGCTGTTTCCCAAACTGAGATTCTCTTTGAGCACTTTTCTGGGTTGGCAGATAAAAGTAAAAGTACCTTGGTGGTTGGGGTGAAATCTTACTTTATAGTTATGTGTTTCGTTTCTTCTTTTCTCTCTCTATTCAAAACCAGCTTTCTCTGTCCTCCATTTCCACCTCCGTGCTCTGAAAGTTTCATTATTTTCATTATTTTCCTGTCAGGCTAAAAGTTTTTAAGGTTTTTTTTTTAATACAAACTAAAAAGAATTGAGTTTGACTTTTTTTTTTAGCCAAGGTCATATATATATATATATACATGTATATATATATATATATATATATATATATATTCCTACCTGAGATTCCGATCTGCATGAGATACTTGGAATGAACCCAAAGCAAACTCCAAACCTTAACTGTACAGTTTGTTGGGAGAAAGCAAAATGGGTTTCCAACAGGCCATTTGGGTCATATTCCAACCTTGAAGGACTGCAAGGACAGTTAAGAATCAGGAGTGGCTTGTCCACATTGTCACAGATAATTAGTAGTAGAAGTAGGAGCCACAGCACTGTGTGGTCTCCTAACCAAGAGTGACCTTTTCCCAGGACTCAGCAGGGTGTGGCCCCAAAAATTAGAAACACAGATCCTGAGTCTAGGAGTAAGGGAATGAGATGCAGACTCCTATGTAATCCTCTTCATCGTCTCTAAGTATGGAAAGACTTGACCAGTACCTTCACAATGTGTAGTTAGTAAAGCATGTATAATTTAGAACTTGAAATTACAATTTAAAAAAAAACTGAAAAAACTGCTCCCTAAATATGCCCTAAGGAAGTATACCATTACCTACAGGCATTATTATCTTTCCTTTGAAAAGGAAGGTATGGGCTAGAGAGAAAATGCAGGGATTAAGGTGTTTGCCTTGCAGATAGCTAACTCCAGTTTGATCCCTGATACCCCATGTGGTCCTCCATCATCACCTGCCAGGTGTGACCCAAAATACCCTCTCCCCAACTTAATAAAAAAGTTGGTGAAGAAGTAATTCAGGTGGTAACTATTACACTACAAATGAGAAGAAAGTAAGGAATATGACTTGTTAAGCTGTTACAGGATTAATCATTATGTTAGGATCTTAACCAGAAATCTCATCTCGGGCTTGAGTGATAGTACAATGGGTCGGGTGTTTACCTTGCACATGGCTGACCTGGGTTTGATCCCCGGCATCCCATTTGGTCTCCTGAGTACTGCTAGGTGTAATTCATGAGTGCAGAGTCAGGAGTAATTCTTGAGCATCAAGAGTTGTCACCCAGCCCCTCCCCCCCGAAACTCCCTCATTTAGGCCCATTATATATACATATGATACACATGTGTATGTATATATGTGTGTATATATATGTATATGTAATTGTTTGGTTTTATTTGGAGCCACACTGAACGGTGCTCAGGGTTTACTCCTCTGGCTCTGCTCTCAGGGATCACTCCTGGTGGGGCTCAGGGGACAGTAGGGGGGTTCCTGGACAAAAACAGTTAAGGCAAATACCCTACTTGCTATACTATCGCTCTGACCCTGGCCCAGTTTTATTGACTCTTAAAAGCAAGAGTTTGCGATAGACCTAGATGATGCCTCTTTCCAGCACCAACATTCTGGACTTTATAGTATATAAAATATTCCTTGGGGGCATATTTAGAGAGCAGAGTTTTATTATTATTATTATTATTATTATTATAATTTTGAGTTCTGAATTATACATACTTTACTAAACTACATATTTTAGCTTCAAGGAACAGTCTGGATTTTAAGGAATGTTTTCTCGCTAAAATAGTGTCTTCAAGGAGAGCAGTCAGTTACTAGAAGCATATGCCCTAAGGAGATAACATGGAGAGGCTAAATAAAGACGGTAACAGTGATTTGCCCCAATCTTTGGAGTTTGGAGCCTCTCAGGGACTCAGACTTATGACATGAGTAACGCAGCCATGAGCCAAAGAGTAGCGTGGGAAGTAGTGGAGAAAAGGGAGCTGCAGAGAGGCCAGCCAGACCCACTCACCTACCATCTCCAGAAGCGCCCAGACTAGATAATGCCCCAGGTCCACCTCCTTTTAGACTGGAGCCCCATCTGTAGAAGTGTGTCGAAGTCATGTTTTGAGTGACACCACCTTGGGACTGTTTTTTAAGTGTATGAAAGAGAAAATGGCTTATTTGCCAAAACACCGCTTTGAGCATGAGCTTTGCTGGAGGCCATTTAAATCTTGCTTTCCTGAAGTGTCGCTACTTGCCCCTACAGTTTACCCCACTTCTTGTACTTCACTCGCGTTTTAGAGTATTCAGGATTGTCTCAATCATCCTATTTGTCAATTGCCTCGAGCAGGCCCCGGTAATGTCTCCTTCGTCCTAGCCCTGAGATTTTAAAAAGTGCCATATTCAAGGCTCTTTCAGGGTTAGGAGAATGAGACCCATCATTGTTACTGGTATTTGGCATAATGGGTACGCCACGGGGAGTTTGCCATACTCTGCCGTGTGGGCAGGTTACATTCGGTAGCCTGCCAGTAAGAATGAGATAATAAGATGTCGCGCGGCCGGGAGCTCGGTTTTATAGTCTCAGTGTTTTATAGCCTCCACCCAGATCCTCCATCTTCCAGTAGGAGGGGTCACACCCACCAATTGGCCCCGGCGCTGTGCAATCCCATCAATGGCCAAGACCCAGAGACTATAAAACCCAGCTCCCGGAAGAGAACAGCGCAGAATCTCCTGCCCCTACCTACGCCTGGTTGTCCTCGCCAGGGCCCCTTGGAGGGGGGCGGGTTGAGTTTCCCTCCCCTCCCCGAGCAGAGCTCCGGCAGCCGAAGACCTCCAGAACCAGCTACCACCATGCTGAGACCACTCTCCACACACATGAAGGTATCGGCAGAGGAACAAAGACATTCGGGTCTCGGGGCTGAGATCTCCAAGCCTGCTCGGATTGGGGCTGAGCATCCTCCACCCAGATCCTCCATCTTCCAGTAGGCGGGGGTCACACTCACCAACTGGCCCCCTGGCACCACGTAATCCCATCAACGGCCAAGACCCAGAGACTATAAAACACAGGATTGTGTGACAGAAGAAAAAAATAGGTGGGGGTGGGGGGGGGGAACACAGCAGATGATGGAATGAAAAACAGCATCGGTAGCAGTTCATTGATAGTAACCAGCAGTGCTTTTGGATTTGGGTGCCACACCTTTGAATCAGCTTGTGGCAGATACCCGGTTCCTGTGACTCTGGGGTGGGGGGGAGAGGAGGAATGGGGGAGGCGGGTAGATGCTGAACATACCCACGGTTGCAGTCAAGTGTTCCCTGAGGCACAGACTCTTGGCAGCTCACTGGGACCAGCGGTCTGAACTAGAGCCCTCATTTGGGAGCGAGAGATCTAAGTCTGTGTTGTGGTTCTGATCCTAAAACTTTTGTGAGACCTGGAGAAAGATGGTCCTGGGCTTTCCGTGCTCTTGAGTGCTTAGAAGAGGTGGTGTGCAGGTGCCTCTCACATTCCCTGCCTTGCTCAGCTGCAGTTTGGAGAGACTGGATCGCTGTCATTGGCTGCTTTCCTCAACCAGGCAGGGGTCAGGGACATTGTGGGACTGCAGTCTGGCAAAGCATCTTTGCTCCACAGCCCTATGCCAGAGCAGTGAGCGAGTGATTGATTTTTTTTTTTTTTGCCTGATGGTTAAGTGAGAAATCTTGGGAGGAGAGCCAGTGGCTTTCTTACCTCGATTGCCAGCTCACTCGTCTGTTGTATAACCAGTGCCTACATTCGCTGTCCTCTGAGTCCTTTAATGAACATATTCCTGGGTCCTTTCCCCATACCCATCATGTTTCTAGGAAAGTGTATGTTAGTCTGTCGCTACTGAATGCCAAGCAATGTGATAAGCAGACGCGCGACTCGTTTTACACTTGTCATTCAGAAAGAGTCAAGGAAAGGAGGAAAAGAGTAAAGGAAGGAAGTGTGGGAGTCAGATGCAGTCTCTTGTCATCTATTGTCAGCAGCTTCGTGCTCACCCACTGTCTTTGCGAATTGTGCTCGAGCCTGAGTTTCTGAAATCGCAAGTGCCCCAGATCCACCTCCATTTCTAAACGCATGGGAATTGTCCACATATTTTTGTTACTGACATTCGAGTTGATTTTGTTCTGATCATACCATTCTCTTTACATAATTTTTTTACAGTGGAGCTCATCTATGAAGGATATGTTGTGCCCCCCCCCCCCCATTCTCCAGAGGATGCTTAACACTGTGAACAGTGTCACACCCTATACGTTGTTTTTCGATAGACACATTCTTATGATAAAACTTAGGGGCTAATAGCAACAATAATAATAAAAATATAGCTAAGTTATGGGAAAACGGGGGGGGGGTGTCTCTCTGAAAATACCTTTTTGTACGTAGTATTTTCAGACTACAAATGTCCCTGGGTAACTGGGCCACTGGAAGTGAAACCTCAGATATGGGGACCACCAGATTCTAAATTGTTTCTTTTTTTCTTTTTTTTCCGGAGTAAGTTCTTTCCTGGTGGATGTCGTTAGTATTCTTGGGGGGCAAATATGCATACTCTGCTGTTGTTGGGCTATTTCATAAATGTGAATGAATCCAGTTTGGTTGATAGTATTGTTCATCTCCTGCGTCTCCTTATTTATATGTTTATTTTAATATTCCACAAGTTTTGAGGTCGCTAGCCATAATTGCACATTTGTTCTTTTAGATTTCCCGCTCCCCCAACAGGATGATCGTGGTCGTGATTTGTAATTACACCTTAGTGAAGGTTCTTTGTTGTTGTTGTTGTTGTTGTTGTTTGTTTTGGGAGCACACCCAGCTCTGTTCTCAGGAGTCACTCCTGGCACGACTCCAGGGATTTTATAGGGTCCCAGTAACCGAACTCAAGTTGGACATGAGTAAGGCAACAGCCTTCGCCACTGTTCTCTCTCTCTGGCCCCAGTGAAGGTTTTTATATGCATAAACATGTGCCTGTATGTATCTACAGAGAGAACAGATTATAACATAATATAGGACTTTCCTGTAGTTTTTGCATTTCAGTTAATAGCATTAATTAACTTTGGTGTTGGTGGTAATCATTAAAATTTTTTAGAGGCAAGTAAATGGTAAGTGCTTCAATTATTTTTCATCAAACTCTTGCTTTTATTTAAATGCCTTATTTACATTTAAGGGCATTGGCAGAGGAACTGATATTTTCTTTCTCTTTAAAATGTCCAAGTGTGGGGCTGGAGCGATAGCACAGCAGGTAGGGCGTTTGCCTTGCACACGGTCGACCCGGGTTCAAGTCCCAGCATCCCATATGGTCTCCCGAGCACCTCCAGGAATAATTCCTGAGTGCATGAGCTAGGAGTAACCCCCTGTGCTTTGCTGGGTGTGACCCAAAAAAGCAAAAAATAAATAAAATGTCCAAGTGTGAGGGGTGGGAGGGACAGTCCAGAGGGGAAGGCACTGTCACTTGCATGAGGCTGTGAACCCCCAGGACCACATATGGTCCCCTGAGCACTGCCAGGCATTGCTTCCAAGCACAAGGACAAGGCAGGGCCCCTGAGCACCACTGGGTGTGGCCCAGACAAACCAACATTTAAAATAAAAGTGCCAGTGATGGGTTAGTTGCTGAACATACTTGAACCCTACCCCGAAGCCCCAATCTGTGGCCTCAGTGCACAGTAGAGTGCTTAGCCATGGGAAAAGATGCCATCCTGGGCTGTGGCTGAGAGATAGGACACGTGGTCCCCGGAGCACCTCAGGGGGCCCCTGAGAGCCAGTGGGTATGGCAACACCTCCCAAAATATGTGAAAGCATGGAAATGAAAAGTGTTATAAGCGATTCCTCTTTTCACCAGAGAAAGAAAAGAGTGTAGATTTGTTTGGTTGGTTTTGAGGCTGCACTCTGCAGTGCTTTCTTCTGGCTCTGTGCTACTGGCAGGGGCCACGGGCCATTATAGGGTGCCGGGGATTGAGCCTGGGTCAGTCACATGCAAGGGGGCGCCCTACCTACTAGACGGTTGCTCTGGCCTCTAAATATCTCAATTTTTCTTAACATTTTTAAAATGCACATGGCCTGGAGCAATAGCACAGCAGGTAGGGCTTTTGCCTTGCACGCGGCCGGCCCGGGTTCAATTCCCAGCATCCCATATGGTCCCCTGAGCACTGCCAGGGGTGATTCCTGAGCGCAGAGCCAGGAGTAACCCTGGAGAATTGCCGGGTGTGACCCAAAAAGAAAAAAAAAGGCATGTAAATGGTGGATCTTGAAAATTCTGAACCTCTGTGTTCAGGAATCTCCAAGGTACCGAACTTTGATCGTCATTTCTCTTTTCTTCCCCCCACAACTCTCCCCCCCTTCATCCCACTCCACTTCACCTTGACCTGTCTATGCTTGTGACTAAATCTAGTGCTTCGTACAGGAGGAAGCTGCCCTCCAGGCATCCTCCCTTCCCTGCTCCAAAGGAAGTCCCTCTTACCCTCTTGCAACCTGCCTCCACGCCACCCCGTGGGAGTGAGAACTGCTACCCTCCATCTCAGCTGGCAGTGTGGGAACCTCCTCATCACCCAGTTTGCTCCTGTGACTCCACTTCCTGCTGGCCTCTCACGTTGGTTTTTGGTTGTCATTTGGTTATTCCCAGTGCCTTGTTTTTAGATCTCCCGCATTTCCTAGAATTCTAACAACTTGTTGCTCTTCCTCTGTTGATTACTTACTTTTATGTTTCAAATATCTGCAAGCCCTCACACATTGTTTTTGGCAAAAGTGCACACACACAGTGCTGGAGCAATAGGACAAAGGGTAGGGCACTTGCCGTGCATGCAGCCAACCCCGTTTGGTCCAGGGCACCCCATATGGTTCTCTGAGCCCCACCAGGAGTGATCCCTGGATATAGAGCCAGGAGTAAGTGCAGAGCACCACTGGTTGTGGGCCCCAACAAAAGAACAAACACATTAGCACAAACACACCTTCTTCTAACCTATCCCATCCCCATTTTTTTAAAAGCCTCTGTTCAGTCACCAAATATTCGTCTAACTGCCTGGAATTTCCAGCCAGCCACGTAGGTAGTTCTTTTCACCTTCGCTGCCTTGTGAACATTCTGTTCCTGTTCTTTGGAGCTGATTCCTCTCCTCATCCTCAGACCCTCATCCACACCTACCGCTCTCTGGGAAACATTCCCTCCCTCAGAACTTCTCTCTCCCCCTTACCCTCCACCCCCCACTCAGTTTTGTGCTTTGCTGACTTCTTATAGTACATCGTGCTTTTTCCCCCCCTCTGCCACAGAAGTTACTTTCCTGCAAGTTTTTAAAGTCAGTCACAAGCTAGTGGAATTACTATCAGGAATGCAGCCTAAACATCTGTTTGAATGCCCAGAGTTAATGGCTTACATGACAAGAAACTCCTGCTGTTTTCTTGCAGGCGAAGATGCTGGAAGCAGATCTAGTTTCAAAGATGCTTCGAGCTGTTCTGCAGTCTCACAAGAATGGGATAGCATTACCCAGGCTCCAAGGAGAGTACAGATCCTTGACTGGTGACTGGATCCCCTTCAAGCAGTTAGGCTACCCGAGCCTAGAAGCCTATCTGAGAAGCATACCAGCAGTTGTCAGGATCGAGATGAGCAGATGTGGAGAGGTAAGAAGGTAATTGTGCAGGTCAAAAAAATACTGAACCAGGCCGGAGCCACGGTACAGCGGGTGGGGCATTTCCTGACATCCCATATGATTCCTCGAGCATCCTCAGGAATAACCCCTGAGCATTGCCGGTATGACCCAAAAAGCAGAAACAAAACAAAACAAAAAACCATCGAACCAAGGGCCAGAGACAAAAGGTTCAGGGGGTAAGGCATTTGCCTTGTCCTGAGCAGCCGGGTGTGACCCAGAAACAAAGATTCAAACCGATTCTGAATTGCCCGTATGGTATTTTGAGCAGCGTAACTATGATAGAAGTCAAGGTAAAAGTACTTGCTTGAATTGTGATGAATATCATCTAAAGTGTGCCTTGTGGTTCTTTTCATTTACCCTCAAATTCTTTCCATTGTAAAAATAAGATTTTAACCACAGTAGCACTGCACTGTCATCCCGTTGTTCATTGATTTGCTTGAGCGGGCACCAGTGACATCTCCATTGTGAGACTTGTTACTGTTTTTGGCATATCGAATACGCCACGGGTAGCTTGCCAGGCTCTGACGTGCGGGTGGGATACTCTTGGTAGCTTGCCAGGCTCTCCGAGAGGGACGGAGGAATCGAACCTGAGTTGGCCGCATGCAAGGCAAACGCCCTACCCGCTGTGCTATCGCTCCAGCCCAATAATAATAGTGAAAAACAAAAAACAAAAACACCACATCAGGTTAAACTTTACCCGGTTTCTATGTCCAAACAAAAATAAGTGTTGGAGAGGCTCCTTCTTGTTTGCTTTCATTTAGTGTTTGCAGTGCCAGGGATGAACCCCAGGCGTCCCTTACGTGATGCATGCAGTCTACCCCCATCCCCACTCCCAGCCTCAGTTAAGGCCCCATGGCCAGAACCCACCTACCCTTTGCAACAGCCCTTTTTGCCCAGATCAGAAATGACTTTCTGACCACCAGATCGCCTGGATTTTTAAGTTCTCATTGAATGATTTGACCAATATCTATTCTGATGAGTTCGACTCCCATTTACTCATTCGGGATTTTTTAATGCCACAGGGGGTCTATCTTCTCGTCCCCCGCTTACGAGCCACTTCTTTCTCAAGTTCTTCACTCCACACCAGTGTGGTAATTATCATTCCCCAACTTTAAATCTCTCAGTTTCTCAGAAATTATGTATGCCATGGATGATTGGTGATAGCAGGGTGTGGGGGGGATTTGTTTGTATTTTTTGTTTTGGTGGGTTTTTTTTCTTGGTGAAACTTGATTTTTGCACATACCTTGTGATTCAGCTGCTGTCTCAGTTCTTGGTATTTGCCTTTTGTACAGTATGAAGATAGAAACAACACACCCAAAAGAAAAAACAACAAAAAAATTTGTACATATGTATATATATGGAGTATGTCTAGAGTATTCCTCACCAAAATCTATAATTGTCGTCTCTTTGTATGTATATTGGAGATGGAGAAGCAGAGTTAGTAGTATTTCGGAAGAGGAGGAGGAAGGACCAGGATCAGAGGAATGATTAAAGGAGAGGTTCACCAGCTCTGTAGTGATAATTCTAAGGCGAATGCATGGATTAGCATATTCATAACGAAACTTGTTTCAGTGTCCCTGAATCTTCCAGATTTAAGGCCTCTGTCTTCTTGGCACTTGGAGTAATGTCCAGTTTCCTGCACCTGTTTAATAGCACCTGTTTCTTACTTAATCTCGGCATATCCTCACCCTTCAGAATTTTTTTGAGGAATCACCTGTTTTCTATCCCTAATATATTTGATTCTTAATAAATTATGTGTTGACACTTTCCTCTAAAGAAAAAATTTTGGATCGTTTTTAGCAAATTATTTATAACAAGCAATATAAAATAAATTATTTATCATCTGCCTTTGGGGCATGCTTGGGTGGTGGTGGTAAAATTCAAAATAATGGTGGTAGGAAGGTGTAATGATGATGGGATTTGTGTTGAAAGATTGTGAACAACTTTATAAAAATAAAATTTTTTAAAAATAAAGAAAGAAAGAAATTATGTGTTGAGTGAAAGAGCAATAGCACAGTGGTAGGGCGTTTGCCTTGCACACAGCCGGCCTGGCCAAGCTGGGTTCGATTCCTCCGCCTCTCTCGGAGAGCCAAGCAAGCTGCCAGGAGTATTTTGCCCGCACGGCAGAGCCTGGCAAGCTACCCGTGATGTATTCAATATGCCTAACACAGTAACAACAAGTTTCACGATGGAGACATTACTGGGCCCGCTCGAGCAAATCGATGAACAACGGGAGGACCATGACTTGCAAAATAGCAAGTATCTCAACAAATAATAATATAATTTTCTTAGTGTGAACATTTTTAGGGTTTTCTGGGTCTTGACTATTTAAATGGCCCCCTATATATTTTTTTAAATTTTGAATTATATTCTTGTAATATATTTCTAGGAGTAGAACTACCGAGGAGTAGGAACATGTTTTGGTGTGTAGTGGAAAGCCTTACTGCTGTCCTGTTCTTTATTTCAGTTTAGAATCCAAGTCTGAAACGCTCGATGGGCATTTAGAACGTCTCACCCAGTAACCTGTCTCGAGTCTCTTTTCATGTGTGTTTTAAAGCCGAAAGGCCAGGCGCTTGTGTTTTAAGTGGGTGCAGAGGACCCTAGACCTGCCTGCCCTTTCCCACCCAGTGAGGCAGCCCCCTGGAATCCTCTGCTCTGCTGGGTGTCTTTGATCCCCAGATCTCAGCACCCATCTCGGGAGGCAGACTGATTCACCACCACTCACCCAGCTGCATCTGTGCAGGGGTGAGCTAGGAATTAGCAATCTCTCGAAGGTAACGGGACAAAGCGGTTAGGAGTGTATCCTTTGGATTCAGAGAGATCTCCTAGCTGTGTGTTGTAGGATGATTGCTTCACTTGCCTGTTTTTCCATGTTAAAATGAGAGTAAACGATTTTACAGATATAATATGAAAGCTATATTCGGTTCACATGTTCCTTTTTGCTCATTCTTAATCTCCTGCCAAGCATTTTATAGACATTCAACAAATACCTATATAGAAATAAATGGGAATTTTTCAGTTTGAGGAAAGAAAAGATATTCAGCGTGCTGGATATGTTTTTGTTTCTCTCTCTCATGGAAATAAAAATTTTGCTCCGGCAACATTGAGAGACATGAATACTTGCATCTTGATTGCTTCATTTGGGACATATGAATTCACTCAGATGTAGTTTTAAAAGCTGACCTTGAGCCACCCATAAACCCGAGCTGTATTTCTCCACCGCGCCCCACCCCCACCTCGTTTCTCATGAATAGATCATCTGCTATGCTGTGGCCTGCACAGAAACGGCCAGAATCGCTCAGCTTGTGGCTCGGCAGAGGAGTTCTAAGAGGAAAACTGGGCGGCAAGTTAATTGTCAGATGAGAGTTAAGAAAACCATGCCATTTTTTCTAGAAGGTAAGGCCTTGTCATAAGGTAAAAATCTTAAGTCATCTTTAAAAATGCATTTGTCATATGGAATTAATAGAAACATTGCTTGTATTCATGATACACACCAAAGTTTGTTTATATTCATATGTCAAGGGAGAAATCCCCAAACTTCGTGTTTCCACCTGAAATTAAGTGAACTGATAAGAAGTGAATTAGAGGGTGAAATAACTTAAGATAGATTTTAATTAAACTTATGGCAAACTTATTATTATCCTGTAATAAATTTTTGGGGAGGGACTGGGGGAATCGCCATCGATAATTTGGGACAAACCAAGAGTGCTAACCTTGGGGCCACAGCAATAGTACAGTGGGTTGGGCTTTTGCCTTGCGTGTGGCCGACCCGGGTTCAATCCCTGGCATCCCATATGGTCCCCCAAGCACTGCCAGGAGTAATTCCTGAGTGCGGAGCCAGGAGTAACCCCTGAGCATTGCTGGGTATGACCCAAAAAAAAAAAAAAAGCTAACCTTTGAAGGCTTATTTAGCGAATCATGTCTTCTGGTATAAATCCTTTATTTTCAGAAAGAAAGGACCTTCATAGTATACAGCAGTGCTCTAGACTACTCGGCCTGTGTTTGCTGAACAGAGGCTTTATATGGTCCTAAAACCTAAATTCTCCAGAAATCGCTCAATTCTAATACAACAGAGTACAGGCCTCAGTGTCCCAATGACAAGTGTAGAGAAGAGAGCAGTCTCATGGTGAGAATGGCAGAGAAGGACTCCAGGGTGAAAGAGGAGACTTGAGTCCAGACTTCAAATAAAGGGGACAGTCTAGTTGATGGAGAGGAGGAGGAGGCTGGGGGTGCTGTCCCCGTGAGGTTGTCCTAGTTGGCTGCTAAGTCCTTGGCCTCAGACTTGCTGACACTTAACATGTTTTCTATTGTTTCCCTCTGATTTCTGCCTCCCCGCCCCCTCGTTGCCCCCCATCCTTGTTCCCTACTCCCAGGGCAGCCTCCTGGTATTCTTACAAACTATTCTGAGAGTAGAGAGGCTCAGAAAATATCTGAACAGGGGCATGACAATGGAATGCAGCTGGGGTACTCATTGAGCCCATCAATCTGTCTGATTTCATAGGAAAGCCAAAAGCAACGCTCAGACAACCAGGGTTTTCTTCAGGCTTTTCCATCAGCAGAAAACCTAATCCGACACCGTTAAGAGACAAAGGAAACTCTCTTGGACCGAAGAGCAACGCTGAGATGCCCCCTTACCCATTACATGCAAGCATTGGGAATGATGCACATAAAGAAGTTCCAGTGCAGAGGCAAGTGGCCATGCCGATGTCCAACAGCAGGTATTTGGATGGACTTAGGATAGGAAATGTCAAAAATAGATGTTTATTGTCAAATGTCATAGATGTTTGTTGTTTAATGTCAAAAATAAATGTCAAAAATAGAGCAGGAAGGAAATGCTTTCAGTTTCTTCTCAATGTAAGTTTACGTGGTGGAGACAAGTGCTGCATTACTGTCCAGTCCACTTTTCTGGGACGCCTGAAGATTACTCTCAGGATATTTCCACTTCCTGTTGGAAATGCATGTTGATGATCTCTGCATGTTGATGATCTCCTTTTTAAGCACATGTAGTGGGTTTTTAAGTCATATTTTTCTAGACGTGTGTCAAAATAACTTGTAGTTTTGTTTTGTATTGTTTTGTTTCAGAAAATTTTCCTTAGAATTAATTTAGTAAGTTTTAGGTGAAACCTAACAAATTTGCATATACATGTCACTGTGCTTCAGTCCTCATTCATGATGGCAGAGGCCAGGATTGTAGCACAGAGTGCTAGAGCTGCCTTGCATGTGGCGGGTCCCAGGTTTGACCCCTGGCCCCACACGTGCCCCTCAGCTCCCCTGGATGTGACCCTGGTGATCCATGAGCACATTTGGGGCAGCCCTGTTAACCCCCAGAATTACTGGGACCAAGCAGCATTGCTCCACCAGGCCTACAGATTCAGGCCAGTTATCTCTAGAAATGGCTCCGAGAACCCTAAGCTTTGCTTGGGAGCTCTCTCCCCAAAAGAAAATATACAGCAGCAGCATATATCCATGCATCAGAATACCAGCTGGCAGTTTAAAGGCAGCCCTGTGTTAGTTTGGGTACTGCCACTCACACACCAGGTGTAGTAAGGGAAATTATTTGATCATTTAGGGATGTGGTTTCTTTATTTGTTCAGCGAAAGTACTTGTTAATCTAGTTATTCTCAAATTTCCTTTCTAACTACATTCGATGATATTGTAAGGAGCTCAGATCACCAAACTACGACTGATGTTTTAGATTGGACCCATTGCATGTTCTTATAAACATGTTTTAGTGGGACACAGGGACATTTCCTTTGTTAATTTATTATTTGTGGTAGCTTTTGACAATAACTGCAGCATTAAGTTGCTGTGGAAACTGAGGACTTTGTGGACAGCAGATAAATGAAACCCCTCTGTTTTATATTTTCCCTGCTTATTGGTAATCCTTGTAAAATTAATTTTAATAGCTCTCATAAGTTATTATAAAATGCTCTTCAATTATTCTGACATAACTTTTGGGACCCTCTGCAGAAAGTTTGCAAACCCCTGATAAAGATATCAGTATCATCTTCTTCCATTTGGTTTTAAATTTTTACTTAAACACCATGACGTACAGAGTTGTTCACCGTATACTTATTTCAGGCACTCATGTTCCAATACCAATCCCACCGCCCCATCTCCAGTTTTCCACCCACTCTACCCAGTCTGTCCCCTTAATAGGCACAAACAAATTTACTTCTTACTCTTGTTACAACAAAATGGCAAGTGGAATTATCAGAAAACAAATCAGTAGAATTCAGTTTGTGATGATGGATGATGGTTATATCCCACAGTGCTGTTACCAGAGTCATTGTCTGGGGATTTCCCGGGCTGGTTGGTGCCAGTTGAGGTTTCTGTGTTACTGTTTTAGTTCATGGAGCTTGGCGGGATCCCACGCAACCCTCCCGTCAGCTTTGCTGTGCTCCTACTGGGCTGCTAGGACTTTGTAGTTTGGGGGAAGTGTCACTAGGCCACACACGTGGCCCCACGCTCTAGGAGCACTGAAACCAGGCTGTTTCCAGGTCCAGAAGGAGGCCAGGTGTGGCCACTGCTGGGCCAGCCCCGAGGGGAGCGGGGGACTCTGCCTGCCTCCACTCTGAGAAGTCATAGAGTCTTCAGCCAGGAGAACATCTCCTTGGGACCATTTGCCAACTTGTTCCCTCTTATGTTTCCCTAAAGCAAATTCTTTTGGAGCTTATCTCTCCAAAGCAGCTTCAGAAATTCCATTCTGTGTAAAATTGAGCCTTCGCATTCTTTACCATATCCTATGATATTTAGAAACAGTTAAAAGGATGTTACTGTGCTAATTTTTTAATACTACAACATTGTTATATTAATTTTTAATTAAATACAAAAGCATTAATAATTTTTTACATTTTCTTAATGTTTCTTACAAAGAAGCCCTAAAATGCTTTTATGATGGGATATATTCAGTGTTGTTATGGTCGGTTATTAAAATTTTAATAGACTGGAGAAAATGCAGAGTTTAAACTTGGAGAGAATATGGGTTAAGTATCGCATATGGTCCCCAGAGTTTTGCCAGGGGCCACTCCTGGACACAGAGCCAGAAGTAGCTCCTGAACTATTTTGGATTCAATTGTGGCCCCCAAAACAAACAAAATGTGCTGACTTGCTAGAAAAACAGAATGAACACGATGAAGCAAAGAGCCTGTGTCCCTAAATGACCATGTCAGTGAACTTGCAAACAAATGGGAAAAATAGCTCACAGAGCCTGAGCAGGCCCAGGAGGAAAGATAATGAGCAGAGTTTTAGGAAGTTCTTGTGGAGAAAAGAAAAATTATCTAATACTGTAGTGAGAGAACCTCAGACGTGAATCGATGGGACTGAAAGAATATTTGAAGATACAAATGCTGTGAACTTTTAAATTTGCCAAAGCCATAAACCAACAGATTCATGAAGCTAAGAGAATTCTGAAGAAATCATATCCAACAAATCATAATTAAACTTCTGAAAACCAAAGACAAAAAAAAAATCTTGAAAATTGCCAGAACAGGAGCCAGAGTGATAATACAGCAGGTAGAGCACTTGCCTTGCATGTGGCTGACCTTCGTTTGATCACCGACATCCAACATGGTCCTCTGAGCACTGCCAGGAGAAATTCCTGAGTGAAGAGCCAGGAGTGACCCCTGAGCACCACCAGATGTAGCCCCAAAACAAAAAAGAAACTTGCCACCACACAGATAATTAAGATAGTTAGATTCTAGTGAGATAGACAAACTATTTGCCCGAGTAGGGGGTAGATTACTTCCTTCTCATATTTGAAAAAAATAAATCTTTCTACATTGTTGTGATGTACAAATTAGTGTTAAGAGTTCTTAGATAGGAGCCTGGAGCAATAATATAGCCGGGAAGGCACTTGCCTTGCGCTTACCTGAGACAGGTTCAATCTCTGGCACTTCATGTGGTCCCTGGGCCCACCAGGAGTGCTCTCTGATTGCAGAGCCAGGAGTAAACCCTGAGCAATGCCGGGTTGTCCCATGGCCCCGCTTAAAAAAAAATCCTAAAATGTTGGTTGCATTTTTGTATGCACACAATGAACTAAAAGAGAAAATTTTAAAATCTCATTTGCAAATGCATTACAAACATTTAAGTTTCTAAGGAATCAGCTTACAGAGGAGGTAAAAAAAACTTGTATGTTAAAAATGGTATCACTATTAAGTAGAAGACACAGGGAAATGAAAAAGTATTCCTTGTTCATTAATTAGGGGGATTAACATTGTTAAAGTGACCAGAATATCTAAGGTATCATAGAGACTCAATGTAATGATCATCAAAATTCCAATGGCATTCAAAGGACATAAATAATACTGAAATTTGTATGGAACCACAAAACCCTCTGAATAGCCATTGTCATCCTGAGAAAAAAGTTGGGAGGCATTATGTTCCCTGGCTCGATACTATAAAGCTGTTGTGATCACATCTCTATGGTGTTGGCATAAAAGCAGACACCCAGACAAATGGAACAGAATTAAGATGCTGGAAATAGATCGTCAGCTACATGTACAGTTCGTTTATAACAAGGGAGCCAAGCGTATAAAATGGAGAAAGGAAAACCTCTTCAACAAATGGTGCTGGGAAAACTGAATGGCCTCTCACAAAGAAATGAAATTGGTCCATTATCTCACTCCGTGCTCAACCTATGCAGTGGTTTAAAGACTTAGAATCCACAAAATACTTTCAAGGAAGCATTGACAAAACACTCCATGATATCGACTTCAGTAACATGCTCAGTGCTTTAATGCCACTGGCAAGTAAAAACAAAAGCAAAATTAAGAAAATGGCATCTCAATCATCTTAAAAAGGTTCTACACTGCAAAAGAAACTCTGCCTAAAATAAAAGGACATTTGACTGAATAGGAAAAAATATTCACCATACATCTGACAAAGTGCTAATGACCAGGATATATAAAGAACATAAAACTGACAACAGAAAAACAAACCCCATTAAAAAAAAAAGTGGGGAGAAGAGCTAGACAGACGCTTATCCAAAGATGACATGTAGATGGCCAAGAGGCATGGGAAAAAATCTTCACCACTGAGGATCAAGGAAATGAAAACCAGACCGGGCAGCTCAGAGTAGTGTGAAGGGCTTGTATCAAAAAGGTCAGAAGCCACAGGTATTGCTAGAAATGCAGACCAAAAGCGACCTGCACTTAGTGTTGGTGGACATGTACATTGGTCCAGCTTCCTATGTAAAAAATATGGAGATTCATCCAAAAATTAAGAAGATAGTATTGGGATGGAGGGGCTGATACCACATTGCTCCCCCACATTGCCATGTGTAGAGCTGCAGGCTCCCAAACACCAGAGGTGTATAATTGGGGTGGCTGTGGTGAGCTTAAACACTGAACACTGGACAACACTGCATCCTTGAACCCTAGCAGCAAATGAATGACCAGTGAATAGAGAATTACTAGGTACGGCCTCCTGGGCATTGCTTGGGATTCCCCCACCCCAGTCTTTTTTTTTTTCTTAAAAAAAAAGATTAAAAATAGTACTACTGTATGATCTGGCAGCTTCACTCCTAGGTATCTATTTAAAGAACAGAAAAGAAAATGCTAATTCAAAGAGTTGCGTGTGTGCGTCCTGCTGTTAACTGCAGTGTTCTTGCAATTGCTAAGATATGGAAATAGCCCAAGTGTCCAGTGACAGGTAAAGGTAAAGGTAAAGGCCCTCCCGTTGATTGTCGATTTGCTCGAGCGGGCCCAGTAACGTCTCCATTGGAGATTTTGTTGTTACTGTGTCTGGCATATCGAATACTCTCGGTAGCTTGCCGGGCTCTCCGAGAGGGGCGGAGGAATCGAACTCGGGTCGGCCATGTTGGCCGCTTGTAAGGCGAATGCCCTACCCGCTGTGCTATCGCTCCAGTGACAGATGAGTGATAAAAGAAAAAGAAGTGATGGTGCTAGAGCATCACTGTGGTGAGCTGGGGGTCCCTCCCCATCACTGCAGGGCTTCAGCACCCCTGTTTCTAACATCGAACCATCTGCTGGTTGAAGAATTGCCATAAGTGACCCCCCAGGCCTCCATAAAGAAGTCATGAGATTATATACAGAATGGAGTCGTATTCAGGTGGCAGAACACTAAGATCTCACTCCGCTGTGCTTGGATAGAACGAAACAGGCTCATGCTAAGCAAAGTAAGTCAGACGGAAAAAAACAAATAGCAGATATATAAAGAGACGAAGCAAAGAACAGACCTGGTCCAGTGGAGACCAGCCCTCAGACTCTGTAGAGAACTGAAGTGGGATGTGGGGGGAGCAAACTGGAAGTGACTTGGGGGGGCACTGATTAAGGCATAGTCACCCCTTGATGGTGAGCATATTATAACTTTGTGCCTCTATAACATAAAAACATTTGCCTTGTGCACATCAGGGTTAACTCAGCAAAAGAATAAACATGTCAGCATGTTTAAGCTCCTGCCACTTGAACACGTATCTGGGGTCTGCTTGTCCTTCATTTTTTTTTGATTTTTTGGGTCACACCCAGTGATGTACAGGGGTTACTCCTGGCTCATGCACTCAGGAATTACTCCTGGCGGAGCTCAGGGAACCATATGGGATGTTGGGAATCAAACTCGGGCTGGCCGCGTGCAAAGCAAATGCCCTACCCACTGTGCTGTGAATCCAGTCCCTTGTCCTTCCTTTTTAACTGTATACCAAAGTAGCCTCAGGCTGGGGAGATGGTGCAGGGGTTAAGGCACTTGTCTTGCATGCAGCCACCCTGGTTGAATCCCCAGCACCATTTCTAGTCCCTGAGCATAACCAGGATTGACCCCTAAGCACAGAACCAGGACTAAGCCCTGAGCATAGTCAAAATGATTTTCAACTCTTCTTTAAAAAAATTTGGTTTTGGTTTTGGGGATCATACCTGGCTGTGCTCAGGACTTACTCCGCACTCTGCCACTCTTGGCTTTGTGCTCAGGAATCACTCCTGATGGCTCCAGGGACCATATCGGGTGCTGGGAATCAAACCCAGGTCAGCCATGTGCAAAGCAAGCACCTTACCCCTATGCTGTCTCTTCACCCCCCTCAGCCTGTTTTTCTTTATTTTTTAATTACTAGTCCTTAAAGATTGATTAATTGGAATTCTAATTTCAAAGTCCTTTTAAATTATAGTTTTAACTTTGCACTTTTTTTGTTTGTTTTATGGGGGATCCACACTCAACAATGCTCAGGGGTTACTCCTGGCTCTGTACTCAGGAATCACTGCTGGTGGTGCCTGGGGGACCATATGGGATGCTGGGGATCAAACCTGGGTCGGCCACATGCAAGGCAAGATAGCCCTAGCGCCGTCTCTCTAGCCCAACTTTGCATTTTTGGGGAGGGGTGAATATGAATATGAAAACTGATACCAGGTCTCATTTTTACTTTTGTTTATTCTGAAATGATTTATTTTGCTGTTCAATGCGGAAAAGGTTTTAAAGACTGCAATGTGTTTGAGATTTGCTATAGACTTTGAAGTTTTCTATTTGGATTTTAATTTTTTTTTTTAATATCTAGGTTTAGTCCAAAGGCACCTATTCCACCACCTTTTCAGATGCATCTTTCAAAAACCTGCGCTAAGGAAATGAGTGGTACGTTTTTAAAATATTTCCTTCATAAAAACGTTTTGGATTCTGTAGATTTAGACCCCACAGAAAAATAACTGATGTTAGTTTTAGACCTTTGTTCTCATATTCTCTTACCTTATCTCTCCCCTTCTCTTTCCTATTTTTTAAGTTAATGTTTTGGGATTTTATTAATCATACTACCAATTTTTATATGAGGAATAAGTTTCCCCAGAATTTGATAAATGCTTCCTGAATCTGATAACTTGCTCAGTTTATTGACAAATAATGACCATAAATACGGATATCAGGATACCTTAACATCACTCAGAAACTAATCAAGATTGGGTCTCCAAGGTGTAGTTCATTTTTTTTTAATGTGTAAAAAACTTGTCAGATATAATCTGTACTTGATTTTTGTTTACAATTTATTTTTAGCTACTTGATAATTCTGCATACACTTGGATACCACCATCAGTTCTGGTCTCTCCAATATAAAATTTCAAAGTCAGTATAACTCCTTAGACCAACTCCCCTTTTTAGATTTTTGCCAAACACAGTAGGATTTTCAGATGTCTAGGATGTTTGTTCTAGGCTACAAAGAATATGTGTGTGTGTGTGTGTGTGTGTGTGTGCGTGCGCGCGCACATGCCTGCCTGTTTGTTTGTCTATTTCTGCTCTCTCAGTAGTAAATTCTTTTGACTGCAGAGCATAAGCTCACTTTCATCCTGAGATGAAACTCAGGATGAAAATCCTGAGATGTACACTATATAATGTACATCAGCGGTAGGTCTGTTAGCCCTTAGAACTACATTACCTTGTGCTCCTTCTCTGGGAGAGTCAACTGAGGTTAGATCTTGGTGAAAATGGTAATTTTGTGGTGGTGAGGTAGCTTTGTAGTCTAATTTCTTCAAATTATTAATTGACCTAAAGAGAAAACACCCTACACAATCAGAGAAAATAAAATTTCCAAGGTCATTTAATTGGTACTAAAGGCTTCCCTCATATCACACCTCTTCTGTTTCACTTCTGCTTCTTACTTGCAGAAGTCCTTTTCTCTCTGTCAGCTCTGATTCTAAGGACTTATTAAGATTCTGCAGTATTTCCCAAAGTGGGTGGGGGATGCCGCCTTCTGTCAGGGTGTCAGGAGTGATGGGGGAGTGCAGAAGCTGGGTTGAGTGGTTAGGTGCTTTCTGTTGATTTGCTTAAAGAAGGTAGATTTGGTGGGGATGGGGGAGGGTGTGGACACAGAATAATCTTATTTCTGAAAAGGGGGTGGTAGGCCAAATAAGGGTGGGGACTTGTTTTATTGAACATGGAACTTCAGCTCAGAAAATGGTCCATTCTAGGTACTTCCACCATTTGACAGCTTTAGTTGTAACTTAGCTATGTGCAGTGACCACTGAGCATTGGCAGATGGACATAATGGATTTCAAAGATTACATAAAATCCAAAGAATTCAGAGGCTGGAGAGATAGTACAGGATTAAGTAAGGTGTATTTCCTTGCATGCAGCCAAACCCTGTTTGATCCCTGCCACCCCAAGTATGGCCAGGAGTGACCCCAGGAATGGGCCCAAAATAAAGTTTTTTAAATGAGATAGTACAGGGGTTAAGGCATTTGCTTTGCATGCAGCTGACCCCGGGGGTATCTTCAGCATCCTGATGCTTCAGCTATCCCTTGGGAAATAAGAGGAGTCTGGTTCCCTTTGCTTGTTATCTCAGAGTTAAAACTCCAAGTAAAGTTGGCATGGTGTGGCCTTCCCTGCTTTCCTGCATCCTTTATTCACCCACTGCCCCAAATCTGAAGTTTGGCAAAGCCTAAAGACACACATAGATTGACTGTCTTTCCTTCATGTGTTTAACAGTGATAATTTAGGTACAAAAATACCTTTAAATCACCCTTCAGCTAGGTAATGGAGATCTTCTGAAATGTTAAGCATCTTTCGGTTAATTCTGTCTTTTTTTAAATTTTTAAGAGAATTTAAATAAGACTATTGAAAAAGCAAATCCTATGCCTCCTGCCTCTCTTAAAATGGATGAGGTACAAAACCGCATAAAGGAAATACTAAACAAGCATAACAATGGCATTTGGATATCTAAGCTTCCACATTTTTACAAGGAGTTATATAAAGAAGAGCTCAATGAAGGGATTTTACAGCAGTTTGAACACTGGCCTCATATTTGCACGGTACGTCTCTCTTTATTTTCCCTTCTTATGCCCGCCTCCTTCCTGCCCCACTTGCACATTTGAGTTCTTACTCCTGTCCCCTTTAGCTCAGGAGCGTGGCGTACTTTATGACACGGCCCATTAATCATCATCTCCAAGATGAACGAAACCACGTAGTTTTATTAGAGCTGTGTGGTATTGAGGACTCTCTATATGTGATGGTTGCTGTTCTTAGGTTTTGTTTCCGTTTATTTCGGAAATGCTTTTCGTAGGTAAGAATATGTAAGCCATTTTATATTGAATTCCACCAGTAGATACCGATAGCTTTGCATTTACTGGTGGATTTTTTTTTTAATTTTGTACTACCTTCATATTTTATTTGCTTGTTCTTAAGGATTTTAAAATTTGTCACCTGATCAAATTTTAGCTATCTGGGCTAATTTAAAAATTAATGTGAGTATATATTTTTTGTTTGAAAAAATGCAAAGCTAGCTGGCATCAGTTTCTGGACCAAGTGACTTAAATGTTTGATTTAGTAGAACTTATTCAGCAGTGTAACTGTTTTGAATAGTAACATTAACAATGAACCTAAACTGAAGCGTTTTCTAAGTTTGTAGAATTAGATATGCTTGACGTTAAGTGAATGATACAGTGCTTAAAAAAAAAAATTTACAATGTGTTTTGGGGCGAGATAGGTAGTTTGCCGGTAAGGCATTTGCTTCGCCCTTGGCCAACCTAGTGTGGTCCCCTGCACCACATGTGGTCTCCTGAAACCATTATGTCCAGGAGAAATCCCTGAACACAGAACCAAGAGACACCTCCAGATATGGCCGCAAAACTCCAACCCCTCCAAAAGAATGTTACATCTGATTTATGTAGATTGTAGCATTGTTGATTTTTGTGATGGGAATTCCCAAGTTGCTGTTCAACCAATACCATTTCACTGCTAATCTGGGAAGAATGTTTTGCACTGGATATAGAATTATATACACTAGCAGGAGTCGGAGAGATTGTATAGGTGTCAGGGCACTTGCCTTGCACACGGCAAACCCAAGGTGAGTCCCGGACACCACAAATGGTCAGTTCCCTGAGCACAGTCAGGAGTAACTTAGCACAGAATCACGAGTAAGCCTTGAGTGGATGTAGGTGTCGACCCAAAATAAACAAATATTTTTATCTATCCTCTTACACTCAACTGATCTGAGACTTGAGGTTTTTCTAGTCTGCTTGATTTGAAAAATTCAGGCCCAGAATTCCTTCTTGGAATACGTATGCTCTTTTTTTTTTTTCTTTTTGGGTCTCACCCAGAGATGCACCCCTGGCTCATGGACTTGGGAATTACTCCAGGCGGTGCTCGGGGGACCATATGGGATGCTGGGAATTGAACCCAGGTCGGCTGTGTGCTAGGCAAACGCCCTACCTGCTGTGTTATCGCTCCAGCCCACATATGGCTCTTTTATATTTTTATTTTATTTTTTGGTTTTTGGGCGACACCCATAGATGCTCAAAGGTTATTTCTGGCTCTGCACTCAGGAATTATGCCTGACAGTTCTCTGGGACCATAAGGGGTGCTGAGGATTGACTCAGATAGGTCATGTGCAAGGCAAAATGCCTTATCCACTGTGCTATCACTCTGGCCCCTGGTTCTTTATTATTTTAATCCATAAATATTCTTGAAATAATAATAAGCCTTCAATGAACTTAACCTTTTTTATTATTAAATACACAAATAACACTATTAAGCTCTTGTAAAAAAAAAAGTCATCTTTTTTTAAAAAAAAAAGTCTGGAGCGATAGTCTGGAGTGAAGGCTGGAGCGATAGCACAGTGGTAGGGCGTTTGCCTTGCACGCAGCCAACATGGCCGACCCGAGTTCGATTCCTCCGCCCCTCTCGGAGAGCCTGCACGGCAGAGCCTGGCAAGCTCCCCGTGACGTATTCGATATGCCAGACACAGTAACAACAAAGTCTCCAATGGAGATGTTACTGGGCCCGCTTGAGCAAAAAAAAGTCATCTTGAAGAATAGTTACTTCATAAATTAATTTTACAGGTGCCCCTTCACATACTTTATTTTATACTCCATGATAATAACTAGTATTTATGTAGCTAAGTTGTGGCTTTGGGAGGGGTTCTTTTTTATAAAAAAAAATTTTTTTTTATTTAGATTTTTATTAGTGAAACACCATGAGGTACAGTTGTAGACTTAAAAATTTTTGTGCTTGGGTTTCAGTTATACAATGATCAAATACCCATCCCTCCAACCAGTGCCCATTCTCCACCACCACGGGTCCCAGTATCCCTCTCACCCCCGATCCCCATCCCACCCCACCCTCCTCTGTGGCAGGGCATTCCCTTTTGTTCTCTCTCTCCTTTTGGGTGCTGTGGTTTGCAAAAGAGGCACTGAGTGGCAGTCATGTTCGGTCTAGAATCTACTCGCAGCACGCATCTCCCATCCTGGGAGGATTCTCCCAACAGGGAGGGGTTATTTTCATCCTAGCTTCTCTACATATCTACAAAACATAAGAATTTCCCTGGCTAGAGTTTTAGGTGAGAAAGAGTACCTACCTCTTTTAGCTTCAGTTTTGCCTAAAATATGTGGTTTTCTACTAAACTCCAGGTGCTGAAACAACTCTTTGTCGTTCTTTTAGCACTAAAATTCATCTTTTGTGTGTGTGTGTGTTTGCTGAGGATTGAACCTTGCAAGGGTTTTTCCACACATGCCTTCTACCTTGGAGCTGCATCCTGAGCCCCCATCTTTATTGCCTGGTTATTTCTGTCCAGACAGTGGGAGTAGAATATGAAGCATCCACATCACCGCCATTCTTCTTCATATGCCAAGGTCCAGCTTGAGTGGCCTCTTAGGCACGGTCCTCGCCGCAGATTAGTCGGCTCTAGGAGTGGGCCTGGTGAGGCCCAGGTGCAGGGTGTGGGCAGAAAACCAGCCCTCTTAGCATCTGGTAAAAATGTTTTCAAAACGCTTTTTAAATTTAATTTTTAATTTGTTTCTTTGGGGGCCACTCCCGGCAGTGGTCAGGGCTTACTCCTGACTCTGTACTTGGGGCATTCCTGAAAGGAAGGTATTGACTTATCTTTTTTTAACTACCTTCTGCAAGCAGCTCTAAATAATAACACCCTGGCTATTTTCCTTTCTTTTGCATCCTGCAGTAAAGTAGAAACACTTTGGTAGCAGGTTAAGCCACAGTTAGGACCAGCCAGTCTCAAACATAGCACAGAAACCTAGGGTCAGAAGGACCCGGGAAATGATGGCCTTGCTGTGTGTAGCTGAAGAAGAAATCTTCAGTTTGTAGCCTCTTTCTCTTGATGAAATAAATATGTTTCACATGTATAAATATTATAAGATATTTCATTTTACATAGGCTCTGCATGTATAATTTGATGAGTCGCTGTCACTGTTTTCCTGTTATTCAGTGATTTGCTCGAGCGGGCCCAGTAATGTTTCCATTGTGAGACTTGTTACTGTGTTTTGGCATATCTAATATGTCATGGGTAGCTTGCCAGGCTTTGCCGTGTGGGCGAGATACTCTCGGTAGCTTGCCTGGCTCTCTTGAGAGGGGCGAAGAAATTGAACTCGGGTCAGCCATGTTGGCCACGTGCAAGGCAAACGCCCTACACGCTGTGCTATCGCTCCAGCTCATATCAATTTGATGAGTATATTTCATAAATATAAAGAGATCATCAAACAGTGTTAAGTATCTCTGCAGAGCTGATTGGTGAGTAGGATTTGTGCTGACGGGGAGGAGGTTTTCATCTGCACCTTTGATTGACTCTCCAGGGAGTGGGCCCTGAACACAATACCTTGTACCTCCTTTTGGGGAGGGCCTGGCTCCAAAGCAGTGTTTGGCTTGCCCTTCCTTAACCAGCACTTCCGCTACCTTGGGCCTGCCTTTCCCTGTCCCAGCACACTGTAGCCGAGAGGTTAGCATGCTTGAGTCAGGGCAGTTGACCTCTGTCTCTCTCTGCTTTCTGGTAGGTAGCCTAGGTCCCACCAGTTAGATTTATATATAACCTAATTTTTTTATTAAAAAAAACTTTTATGAAAACTTAATTTTATATAAATTTAGTTTTTTAGACTGTTCAGAGCAGTCTGAACTTAATCTGTTTGTCTTCGTTGGGACCCAGTGCCGTCTCCGGGAACTATTCCCTCATCTGTCTCACTGGGACTCAGCTTATTAGCACTCTAGAACAGAACCATCATGCTCTTACGGAGGACCTGGATTCTATCTGCAAACAGGCGAACCAAGATAAACCAGCTTCTGGTAGAGAACTCTTGGACATCTCTGGAGGTCTTTATTTCCTGCCAGAGATAGCTTCTGATAGTTTGCTTTGGGGTTCAAAATGGCTTCTAGAGGTTGGAATTCTGGAGAAAAGGTATCCAAGTAACTGTGACTATACTATCTCTGATTTGTGAGTCTCAGGGTGGTGAGTCTACAAAATGAGAATTTGAATTTAGAGATTTAAAACAAAAAGCCACCATTCAGGGGAAGCAAAATTATGGCTGGATGAGACTCATACAGCCCCTTGGGAATTTTTTTTAATTTCATTGGGCAAGAACTATTCTGTTATAGAATCCCAAAGAAAAATTCTAATTCCATAAGAAACAATTGAGTAAACTGTTTACCCCAATGGCCCATGTAATAGAGTTGGCCAATAAGCCTCCATAGACTCAAAGGAATTTGGCTTCAAGAATTTAACTTACAACACAGGTAAGATTAGAAAGAGAAAGGCAGAGAACTCTGAAGATTAAAGAGAAGGAAGTTTCTGGGCTAGTAGGGATGACAGTTGTTATTTCTGTGACCTAGTAGAAGTCCTGAAGAAATTGATGTTTTTTTCAGTCTTTGGGTTTCCCATCTACCAGAATCGAATCTCCCTTCCCCAAACGTGCAGGGACCCAGGTATGGGAGTTGTTTGTTCAAGTGGGTGATCCCAAATGTGTTTGAAATTGAGCTAAGTATGAACTTGTGGGGATAGAACCGTCAAGGCCTATTAAATACCAGAGTCTAGTCAGTAGTGTCGGAAGTTGGTAGTTTTTGTTACTTACCTGTCCCTCCTGTTGGGAGATCGAGGTGAGGACATCGTACCTCCTGTGGTCACATGGGCTCTCGTATCATGCTGATTTTTCTGATTGACATTCAAAACCAAAGATATAATGTGGATCCATGAAAGCAGAAACCCTGGAAGAAAAGGACACATTGCAGTCCTGAGTCTACTCCTCTGTGTGTGTGTGTGTGTGTGGGTATAGCACAAGAGAGTTTTTGACCTCTTCCCTCTGGTGTGTATCTGAATCAGGTGGACTTGGTTAGAAACTATGAAAATAAACTATGATAACTATGACTAGGAACTATGAAACGCGCTCTCCTGAGAAATCCAGCTGAAATGATGAGTAGCTGATCATCACACTAGAGAAATAGCAACCAAGGCATGCTTTAAGTTGGTGTTGACTCACTTTGACTGAACGTGAGGATCAGGAAGCTGTTCTGTCTTGGACAGTGAGGTTGAGTAGTATATCCAGCCATATTTAGAGCAGAGTGAAGATGACCCACAGTATTGGAAGCCATTTTCTAGCTCACCATATTGGAAGCCATTTTCTAGCCCACCATATTGGAAACCATTTTTTAACCCACCATATTGGAAACCATCTTCTAGCCCACCATATTGGAAACCATTTTCTAGCTCCTATCTTTGGGTAGCTTCTTTTTCAGTTGGTGTGTGTGTGTGTGGGGGGGGGGGGGGGGAATGGAAGGTAGATAAACAAGCAGATGGCTTTTCTGAATGTATTTGCCAGAAACTTAAAAAGAGACAAATTTTATGGAGCACGTATAGCAATCACATTCAGGCATCTTGGAAGCACAAATTTTTATTCAAATAAAAAATTTAAAACAATGGCAGTGGGAAAAATGACTTGTTTGTAAAAGTATATATTTTTCACTCTTGATAAACATTTTCTAACTCCCCCCCCAGCCCCCCCCTTTGAATTGAGTAAGTCTTCGGCCGTACTCTAAAGATTGGTTGATCAAGTGGCCCAGGCTTATTTTTCATAACACTATTGCCCATGAATATTTGTCAAATGTATTTGAAGAACATCTGAGTCAACTCCAGCTCGTATCAGGCTGAAAAAGTCAGAGCTATGTTTAGTCTTAGTGAATGCTGTTTTGAATTTAAAGAGGCTCTATTGCTGGAAAGAAACCCACCCTCTTGGGATCAAGCAGCATACTGGAGAGTGCCTAGACCTGTCTTCTGATTCATGTAATTATTTGGATATTGAATTATCTCAGAACTATTGGCCAAAAATTTGCTTTATAGTTTGACTGACAAGGCTTGGCAGAAATGGTCCAGAAGACATAGCCCTGGGTAGTTTAGTAATTCCAGTTGATCTTTAGGCCTCACTCTCAGTGAAGTTCAGGAAAATGGGAATTCTTCTCTAGTCCTGTAAAGCAGTTCATCTTAAATGGACATAGGGATCATAATTTCTATCCAGACAGTAAACCCATGTTAGAGGAACTCGCTGTGCCCTCATATTCAGGGGTTTGATATCGTTCATTGTTAGTCATTGCTCTTGGTTTTGTGTAAGGCAGAGGGGAGGGCTGGGAACGAGGCTCTCCAGCACCACTCACTTACAAGCAAAACACAGCCCACAGCAAAACACGGATGGGAAGGGAAGCTCTGGGACTGGGAAGTGTGACTGCAAACAAAAGTTGAAGTATTCAGTCACCCCATTTCATTCGCTGAAAAAAACAATCATAAAGTGGTCCTCTTTTGAGTTGGAAGATGCCAGAGGTCAGCTGGGACGTGTATTTTCTGAGAGCTTCACTATATCTAAAGAGAACTTCACTATGATATTGGCCTCTACCCTCAACTTCAAAGGCATCGCCAAGATTTAAGAGGAGATGGGCTAGGTGAGGGGAAAACTAAAACAACTCAGCAGATTTTAAGATAGGTTCACAGGGTGCGGTCAGCTTTGGACATGGAAGCCTACTGTTTCCACCCAAAACTACATTTATCAGGGTTTCCTATGATGGCTTTATCTTTCTGTTTACTAAAAAAAGTACATTTTCTCAGTACTCTTATGTTTTCCTAGGTTTTCCTTTGATTTGGTTTAGTTTCGGAGGCCACATCTGGCAGTCATCCAGGGTGACTCTTGGCTCTGCATTGGTGGTGTCACTCCTGCCAGTGCTCAGGGGATCATGCAGTGCCAGGGGTTGAACCCAGGCCTCACACATGCAAAGCATCCCTTAGTCTGTTGAGCTTCCTTTCTTTCCATACCTGACTAAGTTTCTCCAAAGAGCTCTGTGAAGACATACAGTTAAAATTCCAGAGTTTTCCCTCCTTTCCTTTTATTTTTATTTATTGTTTTGGAACCACAGCGAGTGATGCTTATGGCTTATTCGTGGCTCTGCACTCAGGAATTACTCCTGGTGGTGCACAGGGAACCATGCGGGGTATCAGGGATCAAACCTGGTGTAGGCAAATGCCTTACCTGCTACACAGTCACTCCAGCCCCTTTTCTATTCTTCACAGTTTGTGTTTTTATCTGAATGGGGGAAGAATAGTGGGTTTTGGCCTCTCTTCTGTTGACCTAAAGGTTGACAACTACTGATCCGCCAAAATGACTGTCATCTGGCAGTTTGCAGGTTGTCCTTGTTCAGATTCTCCTCCTTGGGCTTCAAAAGCTTGAAAACCCTTGGTCGTACAACCTTCTGCTTCAAGTGTGGGCTGTGAGCCCACCTAGGGTAGCCTAACTGAATGTGAGGACTGCGGACTATTTAAAACATTTATTTGACACGGACGGCATTGGGTGGTGCAGGAGCTTCGTGCGTGAAAACCACAGATGTTACCTGTTGCGACCAGGAGTCCTAAACATGATTTAGATTTAGTTTCAAAATAATCATTTATTATCAGGCATCTGGTTTTGTCTACCTATTTTATATCCCATGGTTGATGGTTGTGTTAAAAAAAAAAAAGTTCAGGCCGAAGAGGTCAGAAATGGAAACAGTTTTAAGAGGCTGATGTCTAAAATATCACCCAAGGCGCCCGAGCAACAGAACCGAGTGTAGGGTGCTTTGCCTTGCAAGTGGCTGACCTGGGTTTGATTCGCCAGCACCCCCTACAGTTCCCAGAGCACTGTCAGGAGTGATCCTGGAGTGCAGATCCCAGGAATAAGTCCTGAGCACTGCTGGGAGTGATCCCCCGAAACCAAACCAAAAGAATGATGATGATGAGGAGGAGGAGGAGGAGGAAGAGGAGGTGGAGGAGGAGGAGGATGAAGAAATACCCTCTGGCAGGCTTAGATTGCAGCAGCTGGATAGTTAAGTAGGGTCTGACAGGAAAAGAATACTTCAGAGGTCTTGAAGACTCACTTCAGTCTGGTGACCCAGTCACTGGTGGGAGCTGTGCTTGTAAAGGGCCAGAAAGTAGGGCTGGCTAAGCACTGGGGCTCGGTCCCCCCCAGTCCCTGCCATCTACTCTGCCCTCCTGCTGCATTGCCGGAGCAGCTGGACCCAACCCAGGACGGACAAGCGGCCTGAGCTCTGACCAAGCTCCCTGGGCACTGAAACTCAGATTTTCCCACCACACAAAATAATTCTCTGGACTTCCCCCACTCACGCAGCCACCCCCAAACACCGAACTCAGGTTTGGTACGCGGACAACCCCGCAACGAACGACCAACTTGAGCGGGCTGTGGAGTCCGCCCATCCCCGTCCTGGGAGTAGAAAAACCCAGAGCTCAGGCAGCACGATGCTGTGTGTCAGAGTGTCTTCACTCTCCCCACTCCTCCCAGGAGATGCCATCCCACCAGGCGCCTCGGGAACGGATGCACAGCAACCTAGTGATGGAATGGCATGCCCCTGCCAGGCGCTCTTAAGAGTGGTTCACTGGAGAGGCCGCACTTGCGGCTAACTTTCTGCTGTGGCCCTTGAAAAAACTTACCCTTATCTGTAGTGATAAGCCCAGGGTTTTCTTGGAGCATTTCAGTTCTGTGTACGTAGTTCTTGGGTTTCTTCCCACAAGGCCTATTCCTAACTGTTCAGAGATACGTTCACAACTTCTTTCCACCCCGTCTTGTGTTTTATAAGCTTTTGCTTAGGTGTGGCAGAGCACAAAATCTGACGTGTGGGTTCCAGCTGCGAAGCGCCCCTCATTGCCTCAGTCAGGAGGCCAGATGCCTCCTAAGGGACATTCAGACTGTTTCACTTCTGAGTTGTGGCTCCTAATGGGGTTTTTGGTTTTTGTTTTTTTGTTTTGCAGATGAAGACAATGCCTTCAAGTCTTAGCAGTTGAGAAGAGTACAGTGTGTACTTTCATATTCTTAATTTGAAAAAAAAAAGTGTTACTATTGAGTTTAAAATGCATTCCTGTGTTTTCGGGTTGTTTGTAGCTATGGAAATATCTATCACTTGCTTTATTTAAAAAATTTTTCAGGTGGAAAAACCTTGCAGTGGTGGTCAAGACTTACTTCTGTATCCAGCTAAGAGAAAGCAGCTTTTGAGAAGTGAACAGGAAGCTGAGAAAGTGCCTCCCTCCCCAGTATCTTCTCCGAAACAAGTACCACCATCAAAAGGATGCCCGGCAGTCATGCCAGGAGACTTTAAAGAGAAAGTTGCGGAGCTGCTGGTGAAATACTCGAGTGGTCTGTGGGCCAGTGCCCTCCCGAAAGCGTTTGAGGACATGTACAAAATGAGGGTCCCGGAGGATGCCTTGAAAAATCTTGCCTCACTTTCTGATGTATGTACCATAGACTACATTTCTGGAAACCCTCAGAAGGCCATCCTCTATGCTAAACTTCCAGTGCCCACTGACAAAGTCCTACAGGATGCAGAGCAGGCACAAGACAATTGTGATATCAAGTCTATGATTGAACAAGAATACCTGCAAATAGAAGAAAATATGATGGGAAGTGTTGATGGCTACTTTGACAATATAACGGTTCCTCCATTAACCATTCCCACCGAGGCATCGCCATCTGTATTGGTGGTTGAACTCAGCAACACTAATGAAGTGGTTATCAGGCAAGTTTTACTTTCTAACTTTTTTTAAATTTGTTTTCCTTTTCCTTCCTCCCACCCTCTCTCCCTCCCTTCCTCCAAGCCTCTCTCTCTCCCCTTCCCTCCCTCTCTCTCTTTCTCTTTCTTCTTTCTTTCCTTCCTTCCTTCCTTCCTTCCTTCCTTCCTTCCTTCCTATTTTTTGAGGTGCCAGACAGGAATAGAACCCAGGACCACTCACAGGCTCAAGGCAAGTTCTCTACTACTGACTATATCCCCTGGTCCCTGTTTTCTAATTCTTTAGGATCCTGTGACTGTTCTGATTGTTTATTCTTCATGTGGAAGCTCAGGACTAAGGAAAAAATAACATACTCCTAGTTCTCTCTGTAAAGTTATAATGAAGTATAGCTTGATGTTTCTTAAATTTTCAAAATATGCAACCATTAAGAGTAAAGATTACTAAGGTAAAGGTAAAGGCCCTGCCGTTGATCGTCGATTTGTTCGAGTGGGCCCAGTAACGTCTCCATTGGAGACTTTGTTGTTACTGTAGTTTTTAAAATGGAAATGCTAATATCATTTGAACATGAAAAAAAAGTCATCGTTGAAAGCAATGCCTAACCTATAGTTGAAAGTCAGCCCACAAGGTAGGCAATACTGTGTATTTTGGGACCACATAGGTTCATTTCCAGGGAGAAGGAAATAACAACCAAGGAGAGCTGGAAATTATTGTCTTGTTTTCCTTTTTTTTTTGTATTTGGGCTACACCCAGCAATGCTCAGGGGTTACTCCTGGCTTTCCACTCAAGAATCAATCCTGGCAGTGCTCAGGGGACCATATGGGATCGAATCCAAATCAGCCATGTGTGAGGCAAGTGCTCTACCCACTGTACTATCACTCTGGCCCCATAGGAGGGTCCTGTTTTATGCAGAGATGGTGTTTCCCTGTAAGCTCCCACTGATGTGGTATAGCTGAGATATTAGAACAGGCTGCTGAAGATAAGGGAGTGTCCCCAACTCTACCAACTGTAACAGCTTTCCCCTACCCCTCCAAGTCATGTAGCCATTCTTGACTGGTTACTGCAGAGAGCTGAAGCTGTCTCTCACCACCACCCAGACCCTGGCGCTGCAGCCCAGGTCAGCCAGTTAAGTACCAGGAGCATCACAGCACCACCAGGAGGCCCAGGAGATAGCCGGTTAAGAGTAAAAACTGCAGCAGTACTGTGATAGCTGTAAAGCTTCATGTACTCAAAGCCAGAGCAGCAGTACAGCAGGTAGGGCACTTGCCTTGCACACAGCCTACCTGGGTTCATTCCCCGGCATCCCATACAGTCTTCCCCGCACTGCCAGGAGTGATTCCTGAGGGCAGAGCTAGGAGTAACCTGAGTACTGCCGGGTGTGACCCCCAAACAAAAACAGAACAAAAAGAGCTCTGTACACTGGAAAAATCAGGAATGACAGAGTATTCCAGCTGTTTCTGGAGTGAGTGATTGACATGTTCACTTTGTTTTTAGTAAATATAGCTATTGCCTTAAAAGAGGCATTTCCCTCATTTATTGAGGCCTGTTGTAAGGGTTTGCCCCCAAACAGGGTGACTGTGGTGTCTTCTGTCCTGCTGACAGTCACCTGAAAACCCCTCATCCTGAAGGTAGAGGAGGGGGTTGCAGAGCGCCTTGCCGACGTCTGTGATTTGACCGTCTAGAGAACATCTCCACCAGCCTCTGGAGTGGGATCCTTCTGTGCCTGTTCCCAGCAGGCATTGCTGCTGACCTCAATGAGCAGAAGCCCAGCGTCAGACAGGACAGTCCTTTCACTCTGAAGTGCTTACCAGCAACTAGCAGGAATCTGTCTCATTCCCAGGATGTGGGACTGAGAGTGAGGCATGGTCTATTCTCAGGTGCTTAGATCTCTCAAGGGATGTAGGACGCCTGGGCCTTGGGTGAAACCTAGACAAGAAAGAACAAAGTTCTTGTGGGCACGCCCCCTTCTCCCTGGGCAGGTGTCTCTGTGCCAGCACAGCACAGTCTTCTGGTTAAAACCATGTCTCTGCTCCTATCCCTGGAGCCAGACTCAGTTTTCTATCCTGGCAGGAAAATCTGTTTGCATGATATGGGTTTTTGTTGTTGTTGCTTGTTTGTTTGTTTTTTGGGGGTTTTCTTTGGTGGGGTGGGTTGAGGAGGGAGATTGGGTCACAGCTGGTAGTGCGCAGGGCTTATTTCTGGCTCTGTACTCGTACTCAGGGATCATTCCTGGCAGGCTCAGGGACACCATGTTGGGTGCCCAGGTTCGAACCCAGGTCAGTCGCAGGCAAGACAAGTGCCCCACCCTCTGTACTATTGCTCTAGCCCCCAGAACAGTATGTTTTGATAGCATGAACTGGTCCGGTGTGAATGTGGTTTTCAATAGTAGGAACTTGTAGGAAGGCACAGAAATGCGCCCTGAAAACACACCGTATATAGTTTGAGGCATTTAGATAGAAGCTATCATTAAATTCCAGTGTCTTAAGGGTACTGGGATTTAACATATTTGTGTACGTAGTTTAAAACATTACTAAGTTGAGGGAGAAGGTTGTTACATGATTGGGTTGGATCGAATGTTTCAGACTTTGTTTTCTGCTAGTAACATGTTACTGGTTTTCAGAGTTTTTAGCCTTGTTCAGAGCTGCCTTAGTTAGGGAAAAGCGGTCAGCTTGGTTCTCTTTCTTAGAACAAGGACGATCTCCAGTAGCATCAGAGTCTGAAGTTGGCCCTTGCTTCAGCGCCTCCGCTGAGGTCTCCTTTCTCCATTTCCTCTCCCGCTCCTCCCTTCTCTGATACCTCTTAGCCCTGTCCCTCCCTCGACTTCCCGACCGCTGGCCCTGTCCACGGCCAGCCCTCCCAGTTGCTGCCCTGCTTGTGCTCTAGAGGGTGGAGTGTTGGGCCTCGGTCTCGTTTCCCGGGTCACCTGCAATATTGCCACTTTCCTTTATCAAGATGCCGATGTTTTATTAAATCTCCTTCCTGACACACGCGAGTTTCAGAATGGATCCAAACACGGCAGTGGCCAAGACCAAGCAGCGCAGCTGAATCCCTCTGGTTTTCCTCCTGCGGGGTTGACTCACATGCTCCCCCTCGCACGCAGGTATGTCGGCAAAGACTATTCTGCTGCCCAGGAACTGATGGAAGACGAGATGAAGGAATACTACAGCAAGAACCCTGTTGTCACCCCAGTCCAGACGGTGCACGTTGGGCAGTTGCTGGCCGTGAATGCCGAGGAAGACGCTTGGCTGCGGGCACAGATCATCTCAACAGAAGAGAATAAAATAAAGGCAAGTGCGGGCTACTTTGTCCTGACCTTGGGAACACTGACCCATTGTGGCTCAGACGTAAGTGTTGCTTTAGAGACCCTGTCCTTTCTGTTTGCTTTCCTCCAGAATGTTGAAAATATGGGCAGTCTTTTTTTAAAATTTTATTTATTTAATGAATCACCAGGAGGTACAGTTACAGACTTACAAATTTTTGTGCTTACGTTTAAGTCATACAATGATCAAGTACCCGTCCCTCCACCAGTGCCATTCTCCACCACCAATGTTCCCAGTATCCCTCCCACTATCCCCTCCACAGCCCCCCCCCCACCTCTGTGGCAGGAACCTTCTCTTTGACTCACTCTCTCCTTTTGGGTGTTGTGGTTTGCAATACAGGCTTTAAGTGGCCATCATGTTCAGTATATAGTCTACTTTCAGTGCATATCTCCCATTCCGAGCGGGCCCTCCAAATATTCTTTACTTGGTGGTCCCTTCTCTATCTGAGCTGCCTTTTCCCCCAGCACGTGAGGCTGTCTTCCAAGCTGTGGGGCGATCCTCCTGGTCCTTATCCCTACTATCCTTGGGTGTCAGTCTACCATTCTGTTACTTTATATTCCACAGATGAGTGCAGTCCTTCTATGTCTGTCCCTCTCTTTCGGACTCACTTCATTTAGCATGATACCTCCATGTTGATCCACTTATATGCAAATTTTATGACTTCATCTTTTCTGACAGCTGCATCGTATTCCATTAAGACAGGGAATTCTTGCCTGTTTGTCTGTCTTGGGGCCACATCCAGTGGTAGCTGGTTCTCTGGGATCTCCTCTGGCGATGCTCCAGGGACCAGGCGGTGCTTCGGACAGAACCCAGCCCTCCCACACCAAAACATGCACGCAGGGGCGGCCACACAGATTAGCAACGGCTCTTCTGTAGCCAGGCCAAAAGGGAGCTTGCTGCATGCTCCCAGGGTTGTCCCGAGTGCTGCCCTCCGGGGGTCCTTAGAGAAGCCAGAAGCCCCCTTGGCAGGCTGCAGTGCCCCTAGCCTTAATCACATCCCCCTGTGTCTGCTTTCCTCAGTCAGGAAACCATGAACTGCAGCCCTCTCCTCCTCAAGACATGGCTACGCGTGTCTGAATTTTGCGGGCTGTTTGTACGCCTCTCTTGCTGTTTCTTTTTCTCCCAGTTTGAAACTTGCCCTCCTCGAGGCAGACTCTGGAGCACTGTGAGCCCAGCTTCAGTATTCCTATTCTTCTTTTACGACCACCAGGACCAGTGTTCAGATCCGACGGGAAAGGGAATGGGAGGGTCTCTTGCATCATTTCAAACCTGTCCCATGTGCCGTTATCAGTCCCTTTGTGGCACCAAGTGCAAATATCCAGTCCCTGAACCCTGAAACCCTGGCCCCCCAAGCACAGAGTCAGGACAGGAGAAAGGGATGCCACTCATTTCATTAGCATGAAAGTGCATTTGTTCCCGAGCTTGTGGGTTCTTGAGAATTGTATGAAAGATTTACACTCAAAACACAGAAACTTATGAAGTTAGGATTTATATGGGGTCCCTGGAATTGAACCCAGGTTGGTTACGTGTAATGGAGGGGGGGGGGCTTCCTTTTTTGAAAAAAAAAATTTTTATGGAATATCTGTGAGATACACAGTTACAAAGCTCTCATGATTGGGCTTCAGTCACACGATTTTCCAATGCCCATCCCTCCACCAGTGTGCATCCCCCTACGTGTGTCCCCAGTTACCCTCCCGTCAACCCATCCCCACCCTGCCACCTGCCTCTATGGCAGGCACTTTCTCTCTCTCTCTCTCTCTCTCTCTCTCTCTCTCTCTCTCTCTCTCTGTCTGTCTGTCTGTCTGTCTGTCTCTCTGTCTCTCTCTGTCTGTCTCTCTCTCCGTCTCTGTCTCTCTCTCCTGCTAGACTTTATGGTTTGCAATGCAGATACTGGGAGGCCATGATGTTTGGTCCTTTACCCACTTTCAGCCTACGCCTCCCTTCCAGCCGTCATTGTCCTAGTGGTCCCTTCTCTATCCCAGCTGCCCTTGCCCCTGGCGCTTGAGGAAGACTGCCAACTGTGGACCAGTTCTCCTGGCCCTTGTTTCTATTGTCCTTAGGTCCTTAGTCTCATTTTATATAATGGGGGCTTCCTTTTGTCTGCTGCTGTCTCCTGTCCCCCAGTCATCCCCTTAATCCACACTGGCTGGGCTGGACACCTCTCTGGTGGCCAAGATTTAAAGGGGCCAATGAAGTGAACTAGTGCACCAAGTGCCCGCCGTTGCACTGTGCTGTCTCGGCTTCTTGCCCAGCTCGGTCAGTAGAAGCAGCCTGAGCCTCTGCAGAATGCTGTGCTCAGGGCAGGTCTGGCCGGATCTTCTTGCCCACATGCCCGTGAAGCAGGAGGAGGTTTCTTACTCTGTCTGGAAAAGCCCCAGCCACTTAGCAAGCCTTTTGTCTCTGGGACCGTGGTGGGCGCCCACCAGCTCCCTCTGTGCAGCAGGTCCTAGAGGGTTTGAGAATTTGGAGCCTGTGTCTGTTATTGCTCAGGTGGTGCCATGAGTCTTCAGCCACTTGGTGGTGCCAGAGAGCCAGGAATAGAATCGCAAAGGACCCAGGGCCTGGCCTGCTCATCCGGGCAATTCCACCCCACTCCCCCATCCCCCCCACCCCCCACCCCTTCCCCGACCCCCGCTGGCCCACTAGGGCCAGCATGGGTTGCAGCCACCTTGCAGATACACAGCATTGAGACTCAATCCGGGAAGCAAGTCAGCTAATTCTGCAGGCTCCCTCTGAAGAGGTTGAAGTGGTTATTTTTTCCCCCCAGACCTTTTAAATTTTTATTTATTTAGTGAAACAACATAATTTTTTAAAAATTTTTATTAGTGAAACACCATGAAGTACAGTTGTAGACTTACAAATTTTTGTGCTTGGGTTTTGATTATACAGTGATCAAATACCCATCCCTCCACCAGTGCCCATTTTCCACCACCACGGGTCCCAGTATCCCTCCCACCCCCATCCCACCCATTCTACCCTGTCTCTGTGGCAGGGCATTCCCTTTTGTTCTCTCTCTCCTTTGGGGTGGAAACAACATAGTTTTTATTGAACAAGCTTTACTTATAAAGACTGTGAAGTGAGAGAGAAAGGGAAAGAAGGGAAGAGGGAGAGAGGGAGGGATGGAGGGAAGGAGGGAGGGAAGCTGGTTCAAGAGAGAATACAGGCTTCTCCAGGAATGGGGGAAAAGCAGCATGGTAGCACTGTAGCACAGTCCTCTTGTTCATTGATTTGCTCGAGCGGGCCCAGTAAAGTCTCCAATGTGAGACTTGTTACTGTGTCTGGCATATCAAATATGTCATGGGTAGCTTGCCAGGTTTTGCCGTGTGGGCGAGATACTCTTGGTAGCTTGCTGGACTCTCCAAGACGATGGAGAGATCAAACCCAGGTCGGCATGTGCAAGGCAAACGCCCTACCCATTGTGCTATCGTTCCAGCCCCCAGCAATCTTTAAAATTTTTTTTTCACTTTATTTAAGACTCTGTTGTTTACAAAGTTGTTCATGATGCATTAGTTAGAGTTGTTTGTGATGCATTTGTTAGAGGTATTCAATATTCCAACCCCAATCCCAGCCCCTACTGTGGCCTTCCTAGTTACTCCGTGGAGGGATGATGCTGGGAATGTGTTCTGGATTTCCCGGGGTGCTCCTGGTGGTTTCTTATGTCATGGAGCCAGCCTGTTTTCTCTCTGACTGCCAAGAGCAGGATCCAAACTGTAGGTAGAGATAACGGGATAATAGCACATCCCTCCACCAGTGTCCATTCTCCACCACCAGTGTTCCCAGTATCCCTCCCACCCACCCACCCCATCCCACCCTCTGCCTCTGCAGCAGACACTTTCCTTCTTTCTCTACTTTGGGGCATTATGGTTTGCAGTATAGATACTAAGAGACCAGCATGTGTGGTCCTTAGTCTACTTTCAGCATACATCTTCCATGCCAAGCAATCCCTCCAACCATCGTTGACTTAGTGGTCCCTTCTCCAAACCAACTGCCTTTTCCCCCAGCACATGAGGCTGGCTTCCACGCCATGGAGTGATGCTCCTGGACATTATATCCTCTGTCCTTGTCAGTCTCATATTGTATTACTTTATGAGTGTAGTCATTCGATGTCTGTCCCTCTCTTTCTGACTAATTTCATTTAGTATGATACTCTTCATGTCCACCCACTTATAATTAAAATCTCATGACTTCATCTTTTCTAACAGCTGCATAGTATTCCATTGTGTAGATGTACCAAAGTTTCTTTAACTAGTCATTTGTTCTCGGGCACTCGGGTTTTTTCCATATTCTGGCTATTGTGAACAGTGCTGAAGCTTCTACACCTCAAAAGAAACAGTGACCAAAACACAGAAAGAGCCCACTAAATGGGAAAAATTATTTACCCAGTATCCATCAGATAAGGGCTTTATATCAAGGATATGCAAGACACTGGTAGAACTTTGAGGAAAAAACCTCCAGCCTCATCAAAAAATGGGGAGAAGAAATGAACAGAAACTTCTTCAAAAAACAAAAATTCAGATGACTACAAACACATGAAAAATGTCTACATCACTAATCATCAGAGAGATACAAATCAAAACAACAATGAGATATTATCTTACACCACAGAAACTGGCACACATCAAAAAGAACAAGAACAACCAGTGCTGGCGCAGATGCGGGGAGAAAGGGACTCTCATTCATTGTTGGTAGGAACACTAGCTGTTCCAGCCATTTTGGAAAACAATATGGACATTCCTCCAAAAACTAGAAATTGAGCTCCCATATGACCCGGCAATACCACTCCTGGGAATATATCCCGGGGATACAAAAACACACAGTAGAAAGTGACTTTTTAAGAAGTGCAACTCGGGGGCTGGAGCAATAGAACAGCAGGGAGGGCACTTGCCTTATATGCTGCTGACCCGGGTTCAATCCCCAGCATCCCATATGGTTCCCCCAAGCACTGCCAGGAGAGTGATCCCTGAGTGCAGAGCCAGGGAGTAACTCTGAGCATTGCCAGGTCTGCCCCTCCCCCCCCCAAAAAAAACCCAAACAACAAAAAAGCAAGGCTAAAACATTTTATCTGCACCTAAGCTCTGTTTATTTTATTCTGTTATCTTCAGGTATGCTACGTTGACTACGGCTTCTGTGAGAATGTCGAAAAGAGCAAAGCGTACAAATTGAGCCCAAAATTCTGTTCACTCTCATTCCAAGCCACGAAGTGCAAACTGGCAGGTAAGGGGCACTTGTTTGTACCCACGTTTTGTCCACAGTCATCCACAGGTGAGGTTGCATTCTGGGCGGTCAGCCCTGAGTGAACTGTCGCCGCGCCCTTTCCTGGAAGGTGTGCAAGGGGATCCTTGTTGAAGTATGCCCGTGCCTCCCTGTCTGCACCGAGCACACATCCAGTGGAATCCATCCTACCGCAAAACTGTCCACGGTCTGTCCTGGAGGAATGGATTGCTGGCCCCGCTGCCTTGGCAACAGCTGCCACTGGCTCTATATCGTGGGGCTTGATTGGTTGGCGTCTGTCAGGCGTGCTGTGAGCCTCATGCCCAGCTGCTTCCCCGCGGAGAGGACCCCAGGGGTGCTGCTTTATGAGCAACACTGCCTCACACCGCCCAGCATAAATTTAACCACAGGTCACATGCCATCCCTGGCCCACAGCCCGCAGCCTACCATTCTGATTTGTTGCCTGTCCTCCAAGCATTGTACATGTGGGAGGGCAGCTCGGTGGGGCCAGACGGGAAGCACAGCAGCCCCTTGCCGTGGCAGGGTGAGGGCAGCCACCAGAGTGTGCTTTGGACCAGAGAGCCTGAACAGGAGCCCAGGAATGATCTTTCCAGAAAATCAAGTCAGGGAAGAAACTCTTGCCCCTACCTAGATGAGCCCAGCGGTCAGGAAGAGCTTGGTTTGACTTTACTTGTGGGATAAGTGGCCAAGTAATTGTAAAATCCACTTATATACCAGTTTACCTTACATGCAGCTGACTCTGGGCTCCATTCCCAGCATCAGGGTCCCCCGAGCATCACCAGGAGTAATTCCTGAGTGCAGAGCCAGGAGTAACCCCTGTAATGCCAGGTGTGAGGAGTAGGAGTTTTGTTTTTTTTTTTAAAGAACCTATCAAGCGCACAGGACAGAATTTAGGATGCTGAATTGACATCCGTTTGATCCGAGCGTTACAGTTTAGTGACAGCAGAGGCAGGACCGAGGAATACTAGCTCTCAAGTAGTCTTTGAGCTTCAGGTGAAGGGCTCAGCAGGGAGCAGGGGGAAAGGTGAACTAAAGAGATGAACTTTCAGTTGTCATAGATGTAAAACACACGGAATCACAAGCGAAAAGTCCAGACTCACTAAAATATAGCTAGCACTTGTGGTATGTGACATCCTAATTTGTCCTTGATAAAGTAGAAAGTTCTGATCCTCAGGATCACCATGGCAAGGGAGGGAAGGAGGGAGGGAGGGAGGGAGAAAGGGAGGGAGGGAGTGGGTGGGGGAGAGAAAAGAAAGATAGTACAGTAGGGCAGAGCCCTTAGTGCCACTGACCCAGTTTGGGTCCCCAGCACCACCAGGAGTGATCCCTGCACACAGAGCCAGGAGTTAATCCTGAACACTTAAGTATAACCCAAAAATTTAGAAAAGAAAAGAAAAAGAAGGGAAAGAAAGAAAGAGAGAGAGAAAACGTGGCTGCATTCCCTATAAATGTTTTTGATTTTTAGTGGGGAAAACTGTGTCAACTTAATTAGAAAATGAAAAATAATAGGTATATTCTGAGGAAGAATATTGCCCGTACAGGAGTCAAAGACATAGCTGGTAACTTCTCGTGTGCATTAGCAGTTTGGTTTTATGTGTCTTGTGTAGATAAAAAGAAGGAAGATTATAAAACTGATTGGGTCGCCAACTTTTCTTCTCATTTTATGATTGTGCTGGTATGGTTATTCAAAAGAACAATCACGTTATAATACATGTTTGAAATCCAAGAGCAGGTAATCTTAAAAATTGTGAAATAGTCTCGTGAAATTTCAAAGAACTCTTGGTAGAAAATGCATAGCTCGTCAGTGGATGAGACAGACAGTCATTAATGAAGTGGGAATCAAAACATTTCACTATTTTTCAGGGCTAGAAGTTCTAAGCGATGATCCCGACTTAGTGAAAGTAGTTGAATCTTTAACTTGTGGAAAGATCTTCGCAGTGGAAATACTTGAAAAAGCTGATATCCCACTGGTAGTCCTGTACGACACATCAGGGGAAGATGATGTGAATGTCAATGCCACCTGCCTGAAGGCCATCTGTGACAAGTCTCTGGAAGTCCGCCTCCAGGTACCACACTGGCCTCTAGTGCACGGAGCCCAGGAAAGAAAGTGACTGGAGGAAAACCTGAAGTTTTAGGCTGATAGGGAAATTACGTATGCATTAAGGGGAACGATGGTGATTATTAATAATTCAATTCTTACTTCACTTTCCAATTCACTGAGTGTATGTTCACTTCATATAGAATCATTTTGTGTAGATAATTTACCAGATATTTTGCTCTGGGGGGGCACTCTCCTATAAAGTGCCTTGTAAGGATCAGAACAAGCTCAGAGACCTTATATATATATATATATATAGACTGGAGCGATAGCACAGCAATAGGGCATTTGTCTTGCACACGGCCAATAGGGCCAACCAGGTTCAATTCCTCTGTCCTTCTCGGAGAGCCCTGCAAGCTACCGAAAGTATCTTGCCCACACAGCAAAGCCTGGCAAGCTACCCAAGTTACTCGTGATTGACATATTGGATATGCCAAACACAGTAACAAGTCTCACAATGGAGACGTTACTGGGCTCGCTCGATCAAATAGATGAACAACAGGAGAATAGTGCATTATACTTTTTATTCTATCTTTACTTTTTGAAATTTGGACCACACCCACTGGTGCTCAGGGCTTCCTCCTGGCTCTGGCTCAGGGGTCACTCTAGGCCATGCAGGGAGGGCCACATGAGATGCCGGGGATAGGATCTGTCTGGTTGCCTGTCAGGCAGGTACCTGCTGTACTGTCTGCAGCCCAAGGCAATAATGCTTAGGCTTCACAGCAACATTTAGAAAACATGTTTTAATATTTAGAACAACAGTTAATTGCCTTTTCTATCTGGACCAAGAATTGGCCACGAGCAAACCTTTACTACTAACAGTTTTTTTTTAATTACTAAACTTCATGTGTCTGTGAACACAGAAAGTAGGCTGGTAAGATCTTTGTCATTTGTTTTCATTTCTATTGAGAAACAAAAATGCTTTGTGTCATCATTCATTTTCTAGACTATTGGAGCAGAAAATTACAGATAGCCTTTCAGACAGTGCCATGTGGTGATAAGATAATGTATGTAAGATTCCCACTATGTACTTGATGAAAATTATATTTGAAATTCCTTTTGGAAAAGAGAATCGGTCTTTTTTAAAAAAAAAGGAAACACTGAAGTTATGAGTTCATCCTATCCTGCCTGTTCTCTTACGTGCTCAGATTTCCATAAATGTTTCGGGTTTTGTTTGGGTTGCCTTGGGGGCCCACACCTAGCTGTTCTCAGGGCTTACTCCTGGCTCTGTGCTCAGGGATCTGTCCTGGCAGGGCTTGGGGTTGGGGAGACCCTATAGGGTGCTGGCATCAGACCCGGGCTGACCTCCTGGACTCTCCCTCCAGTCGTCCAGTCGTCACAGATTCTTTGGGAGGTGGCTCTCAGCTGGGGAAGAACTGGGCTATGCTCTTCATCACCCTTAAAGTGTCGCATATGTGTTCCAGGTCGATGCCATGTACACGAACGTCAGAGTGACTAACATCTGCTCTGACGGCACACTCTACTGCCAGGTGCCTTGCAAGGGTCTGAACAAGCTCAATGACCTCCTGCATAAGATCGAGGACTACTTCCACTGCAAGGTAGGGCGGAGTGCCGGCCCAGCCCGGGGAAAGTGGCTTTTGACAAAGGGGGGGCCAGTGAGTCTGAGGGACGTTAAGTAGTTTGAGGGTGAATCTCATAGAGTAGTGAGTGGAAGCCTGGGGCTTCAGAACTTGAAAAAGTAAAGGAAGGAAGGGAGGGAGGGAGGGAGGGAGGGAGGGAGGGAGGGAGGAAAGGAAGGAAGGAAGGAAGGAAGGAAGGAAGGAAGGAAGGAAGGAAGGAAGGAGTTATTTGTTGATAATGGTTTCTGGGAGTGGAAAAGGGGATGAGAAAGGCCCTTGGGACACTGGTGGAGGAATTGGGCACTCTGGTGGTGGCTGTAGTGTTGGGATAATGGACACGTGTTGGGATAATGGATTCGTGAATGTTTAACAGTATTGTAAATCATGGTGCCTCAATGAAATTAGCTGGTAGGGGGTGAGAGTTGTTTCTGAGAACTGGGCCTATAGCTTGGTGAGCTGGTGGGCAAGAGTGTCCACTTTGCAGTGAAGGTTCCCACTTTGCTTTCCGGCATCGCAGGGCCCCCCGAGGACTGTGGAGTGTGACCCTGAAGGCCCCTGGCCAGTGTTGCCAGGATGGTCTTTAGCCCCCACCCCACCCCCACCACCCCCACCCCTCAAAACATAGTGGTTTCTGCTCTAAACCGAGGGAGAAGAGTTGCTTGTGTCCTTTTTTTGTGTGTGTGATTTTTATATATTTTATTTCCATAAAGTAGTTGACAGTAGTTCGTTACAGATAATATTCAAACATCCACCCCACCAGTGAGCATCTTCCCTCCGCAATAAGAGGGAAGCATGTGAAGGTTGTTGTATTTCATTCTGGAGCCGTTTAATTCCTCATATAAGAGAATACAAGCCAGTATGTCAAAAACCAAACAAAAGTGTGCTACTTTAGGTACACCTCTGGGCTAGAGTCACAGCTGCGTGCTCCAGGAAATACTGCATCACTCTCTTCTGGGAGCTTTATTTTATAGTCTCTGGATCTTGGCCATTGATGAGATAACATTGCAGTGGGGGCAGTTTGTGGATGTGACTGCCAGGCTACTGGAAAGCTGGGGAGCTGGGGGGAGGAGGCCCAGTCTCGATCCAAGCAGGCTTGGAGATCTCAGGAGTGGCGTGTGGCCTTGGGCTTATCAGGAGCCTGGTCCCCGGGCTGGCTGCTGAGTGCCCAGCTGGTGGGTTTGAGTTGGTGGCAGACCTTGTCTGGGATGAACCTGTTGGGCAGTGGAATCTGTTTGCTCCATCGGTCGCAGTCTTGGGAAGCAGTGGACGATGGGGGATACTGGGTGTCCTGGGTGCCGTGTTCATTTTTCCACAATGATTCCTCAGAGCTCTGTGTATGACCTCTGAGGACTTCCTGCCTCTCTGTAATAAATAAGCAGACCTGCAGTTTATGTATGTTCACAAGCTCTCCAGCCTTTAATTCTAGCATTCTTCTCTCTCTCTTTTTTTTAAACTTTATTTTTGTGACGGCGATTTGCAATACTGCCGGTGCTAGGGTCTCTTGCACACGCTGCTTCTGCCCGACACACCTCCACTGGAGCACCCGTTTCCCTCCACCCTTGCCTTGGAACCCCTCCTCTACTATTCTTCGACTCAGGACCTGGAGAGATTTTTGTCTTAACGGGTTTTGCCTTTAGGTGATTTCCCTTCCAGCAGTACTGGGGCAGTGTCGTCGTTATCTGGAACACGCTGTGCCACGTAACTAACCCCTAATGCTGCTTCAGTGCAGACCCACCCCCGCCTGGATCAGGTGGAGGGGAGCAGGCTAGGGCCCCTGTGGTGGCTTTTCTCACTGTGTCATGCAAAGAATGATGATTGTCCCACGTTTCTGTTTTCCAGCACATGACTTCCGAGTACTTCATTGCAATTCCCTTCTGTGGGAAGATCTGTCTCTTCCACTGCAAAGGAAAATGGTTGCGAGTAGAGGTAAAGTCAGCCACTTGCCTTTTTTTTAAAAAAAAAAAACAAAACTTGCGGGACGATTTCATACACTGCAGGTGCTTTAAGAAAAAAAATCAAGAAGAAAGACCTGGGCCCAGAGAAAGTCCAGCAGGGAGGGGGCTTGCTTTGGACATGGCCAACCTGGGTTCAATCTCATCATCCCATATGGTCCCCCAAGACCCGCCAGGAGTGATTCCTGAGTACAGACCCAGGAATAACCCTTGAGCATTGTCAGGTGTGGCCCCCTAAACACAATAAGGATTTAATGCTGCTTACTGGTTAAATAAAATAACAACTAGATGGTTGTAATCAATTTTACTCCAAAAGCATTTGGTAAATAGTGCATTTTAAAATAAGAGAAATGAGGAGATGAGATATAGGACAGCAGGGAGGGCACTTGCTCGCACATACCCAGGTTTAATCCCCAGTACCTCAAAAGGTCCCCTGAGCCCCCTTGGAGTGATCCTTGAGTGCAAAGCCAGGAGTAAGCCCTGAGCACCACCAGTTGTGACCCCAAAAACACAAAAAGAAAAATGTAACTAGCACTGGTAGTCTTTGCTACTTTTCAGGTGAAGTTTAGAGTTGTACAAAACGTAATTGCATAGAAGCTTTTCTTCCTTTGTCTGCGCTTATCACTTAGCCGACATTTGTCCCTTTGCAGATCACGAATGTTCACAGCAGCCGGGCTCTTGATGTTCAGTTCCTGGACTCCGGCACCATAACATCTGTGAAAGTGTCTGAGCTCAGAGAAATACCCCCTCGGTTTCTGCAGGAAGTGATCTCAATACCACCTCAGGTGCGTGTGTGGCAAGCCTCCAAGGTTGCTGGAACCACACTGTGAGGTGCCTTCCCAGTTTGGGTCCTGGTAAAGATTCAAGTCACGGTTTGGAAGAAAGTTGGCATTGACTCGCATGTGCTTGTTCACTTGTCTTCCTAAGCAAAGCTCTGCCGCTTAGGAAAGAAGGCAGGTCACAAGAGCAAAATCGAGCATGACCGCCAAATCATCAGCCTGTTTTGACAGAATCACCGGGAGTGCCCCTGGGCCTCTCAAGCTTGGGGAGGATATGAGAGAGAGAGAAAGAGAGAGAGAGAGAGAGAGAGAGAGAGAGAGAGGAGAGAGAGGAGAGAATGAATGAGATAGAGTTTGTATGTCAGGTCATTAGGCTGTATTATCTAGAGGTTCTGTTTTCATTATCTAGATGATTATGAATATAATATTTATGAAATACGTTTATGTGATATGAAGTATAATAATCTTATAATGAATAATATGATAATAATTTAAATTTAATAATTCCAACACTAACTTTCTATTTCAGGATATATATATATGTATGTATATTTGGGGGGCATGGTTTGGGCTATATCGGGCAATGCTGACGGGTTACTCCTGGCTCTGCACCGAGAAAGGACTCCTGGTGGTGCTTCGGGGACCATATGGAATGCCAGGGATCAAGCCTGGGTCAAACTGTGTGCAAGGCAAGCACCTTACCCACTGTACCATCTCTCCAGCACCCTAGTTTATGAATATTTCACATGAATACGTTCTTCCAGAATTCTGGTTTATTGAGGTAGCTGTTTTCTTCATAAAACAGTTCATACCTAATAATTGTATGACCTTTGCACCATAGATTTTTATTAAAAAGAGTAAGGTAAATCTAACCTCCTGCTGGTAAAAAAGTGAAGATGATGAGGGGCCTGAGAGATGCTTCCCGAGAGATGCTGGAACACCCATTTTGCTTGTAGGAAGCCCAAGTTTGAGCCCCTGCACCATGGCATCCCTTGAGCATCGTTGCCAGGCGTGATCTGTGATCTTCAGGCATTGAGCCAGGAGTAAAACCCCGAGCATTGCTTGGCATGCCCTTTAAAAAAGAAGTAAGGTAAAAGGTAAAGGCCCTCCCGTTGATCGTCGATTTGCTCGAGCGGGCCCAGTAACGTCTCCATTGGAGACTTTGTTGTTACTGTGTCTGGCATATCGAATACTCTCGGTAGCTTGCCGGGCTCTCCGAGAGGGGCGGAGGAATCGAACTCGGGTCGGCCATGTTGGCTGCATGCGAGGCAAACGCCCTACCGCTGTGCTATCAAGCAAATCATTAAAAAAGAAAAATTTTTTAAAAGAAAGCAAAATGAGCACAAGTACTCGACACCCTTGGTGTGCTTAGAAAATGCTGAATGAAGCCTGTGTGTCCCATAAACACGTTTTTCCACCAAAAGGAGACACAAGGGTCTTTTTCAGTTGGACTTCGAGGTTAAAGGCTCCACCCAGCCTTTGTGTTTTTAATACAAACTCGTTCTCTTGGTCCGTCTTACCCTCCACAAAAAGACTCAGCCTTGCTGTCCTGCAGCAGTGCCATTTGGATGAGAAGTCCTCAGGGTGCCTGGGAAAGCCTGACCCCCAGGGGAGGAAAACAATAGGAGTGACGGGATTAATGACAGGAACAGAGCAGGTGCTCCGGCCTGAGCGCTGCTGCCAGGGTTTCTCCCTTGCTTGCTTTCTATCTTGGCAACATCTGACGTGCAAGAAAATGATCCCGATGCTCTCCCTAAGGGCCTATTTTAAGATGGTTCCCTTTGCGTTGTGCTTGTTTTGCAGGCGATCAAGTGCTGTTTAGCAGACCTGCCGCAGTCCATTGGCATGTGGACACCAGACGCGGTGCTTTGGCTAAGAGATTCTGTTTTGAATTGCTCAGACTGTAGCATTAAGGTCAGTGATCTTAACCATCTTGATGCATTAGAAAGAGAGCCTTCGGGCCAGAAAGGGTCATTTGGTATTTTATGAAAGAATGTTCACTGGTATTTTCGCATTTGACACATTTTTGTAGTCAATAGATTACATTTTAGGGCCAGAGAGAGAGAAAAAATTGCATGTTAGAGCCAGCAGTCATAAACATTGCTCATATTTCCAGGAATAGAAGTGTCAGGTAATATTTCTCTTTTTATAACCGATGTAAATAACATCATTTTATAAGCATTCAGTAATGAAATGTCTGTAAGAACTATCTTCACAAACTGCTCCTGAAGTATGCAGCACACATGGGCTTTCCTGTCTTCATACCCCCACTCTGGTCCATCTTACATGTGTTTTATATTATTGTATGTTAATCTTTAAAATATGTACAATTTTTGTAAAATAGCTGTTTTATAGTCTTCATTTGCCACTAGATAATACATCTTTTCTCAGCTATTTTTTTGTTTTGACTTTTTGTTTTGGGGCCACACCCAGTGAAACTCTGGGTTTACTCCTGGCTTTGCACTCCTGGCAATCCTCAGGGGCCATATGGGATGCCAGGGATTGAACTCAGGTCTGCTGTGTGCAAGGCCGGCTCCCTAGCCACTCAGCTATCTCTCTGCGCCCCCTCAGCTACCTTTTAAATTGATAAAAGCTAGGGGATCGGAGACACACTAAAAATATTTTTAATTGTCGACTTTTGAAATTGTAAAGCTGTGTCATAAATATCAGAATTTTGAAATTGTAGTGCTGTGTCAAATATCAAAAATTAGCAGTAACCTTTCACTTGTGCCCCAGAGGAGAAAGAATTTTTTTTTTTTTTTTGCTTTTTGGGTCACACCCGACGATGCTCAGGGGTTGCTCCTAGCTCATGCACCCAGGAATCACCCCTGGCGGTGCTCGGGGGACCATATGGGATGCTGGGAATTGGACCTATGTCGACCATGTTGGCTGCGTGCAAGGCAAACGCCCTACCTGCTGTGCTATCGCTCCAGCCTCGAGAAAGGATAAATTTTAAGTAGATTCCGTTTGCTAGGAAAAAAGTCACAAATTACTGGACAGAGGGTTTCCTTGCTGATGTCTCCCGCTCTTCATCCCAATTCCATTTTTCTTTCTTTTTTTTTCCTTCTTGGGTCACACCCAGCGATGCTCAGGGGTTACTCCTGGTTCTGCACTCAAAAGTTCCTCCTGGCAGTGCTCGGGGAACCTTATGGGAGGCCAGGGATCAAACCTGATTTGGCCTCGTGCAAGGCAAATGCCCTACCCACTATACGATCACTCTGGCTCTTCATCTGATTTCTCCCGTTCGTTTCTAGCCCTATTTGACAAAAGATGCAAGTGGCTAGACATGCTCCTCGTGCTGTCCTGAGAGAACCCAGAGACACTAACGGGCAGGCTCAGCTGACGCGCAGCCCTTTGAGACACAGCCAAACGTCCAGCCATTGTCAGTGTTGGGGTGCTCCCAGGTGGACACTCCTTTGGCAGAGGGAGCAGAGGTCGCTGTGCAACAGCCACGGGGAGCCGTGACTCTGACCTTCAAGCAGCTCTGCTCCGTTTCTTCGTCTGTTTTCTCTCCAGTCCTCTCCTCTTAGAGAGGGCAGGGAGGGAGAGAGCAAACATTAGAATCGAGACAAGGAACTCGGGTCAGAGGTCCCAGGATTACAGTCAGTGTTTTCCTTCCTTTTCCAGTCTGAGGGTGTGTCAGGAACTTAGAACATTTGCCACCTGCATTAATTATTTCTCATTGTTGAAATTGAGTGATGAGTGCATGGGAATTGATAATACTAGTTTTTTCTATTTTTGAGTGTTTGAAAGTGTCTTTTTCTTTTTTTTTTCTTTTTTTCTTGGGGGGGGGGGGGCGGGGAGGGCGGAGGTGTTTGAGAAACATCCAGCATTGCTCACAGGGGTTACTCCTGGCTCTGTACTCAAGAATTACTCCTGGTGGTGCTCAGGGGACCACATGGGATGCCAGGGATTGAACCTGGTTTGGTGCATGCAAGGCAAGTGCCCTAACCAGCTCTACTATCTCTCCAGCCCTGTCTTTTTTTTTTTTAAAGTTTAGTTCATGATCTTTAGAATAACTTCTTTTCAGTAATACTGGCCTCTTCTAGCAAGGTATTCGCTCTTCAAAACTTTAGAGGTTAGTAATTGTTTTATTGTGCTGCTGGTTTCAAAGCTTTGACTTAACAAGCCTATTCATTGTGGCAACTGGGATGCGAATTCATCTTATTTTTAATAAAATGAATCTTGGCAAGTTGAGTTGGTTTTTTTTTTCTTTTGCAAAATGCTATGGTTTCAGATTTACAGTTAATGTTATCATTGTCTCTTGGGATTCACTATGGATGTGGAGTTCTTAAATTGTTTCTGTGTGTGTGTTTTTCCAAAGGTTACGAAAGTGGATGAAACCAAGGGGATCACACATGTTTATTTATTTACACCTAAGAATTTCCCTGACCCCCACCGCAGTATTAATCGTCAGATAACAAACGCAGACTTGTGGAAGCATCAGAAGGACGTGTTTCTGAGTGCCGTCTCCAGTGAAGTTACCTCTCCCAACAGCAAAAGTGCTAACCTCTCCGTTTTGGGCAACACTGGAGAGAATTTCAGAAAGAGCCTCACAGATGTCATCAAGAAGTCTGTCTTGGACCACACCAGCTCTTTCACCATGGAGGAACTGCCACCTCCCGTCCACTTGTCAAAGCCAGGGGAGCACATGGATGTGTATGTGCCCGTGGCCTGCCACCCGGGCTACTTTGTCATCCAGCCGTGGCAGGAGATACATAAGCTGGAGGTGTTGATGGAAGAGATGATTCTGTACTACAGCGTGACTGAAGAGCGCCATATAGCAGTGGAAAAAGACCAAGTGTATGCTGCTAAAGTGGAAAATAAGTAGGTCCCTGGACAGAGCATTTTTATTCTCCTAAAACAAATGTGTAGGTGATACCAGGAGTCCTTAATTCCCTACAAGGGGGACTTGGATTGAACTGTATGAATGTGAATTCGAATGTGAAATAAGACTAATGAATTGTGTGCAGTCTTCTGGTATTTCAAATAATGTCATTTATCTAAAAATATAGGAACCATTTTCTTACTAAAACCTGGGCTTGTCTGGGGCTGGGAGATGTACAGCAGGTAAGGCACTTGCCTTGCACGCAGCTCACCTGGGCTTGATCCCCAGTACCCCATATGGTTCCCTGGAGCCCTGCCAGGAATAATACCAGAGCTCAGAGCCAGGAGTAAGCACTGAGTACCACCAGATGTAGTACCCAAATTTTTTTAAACCTTATTTATAAAATGAAGATTCAAATGATTTTTCTATCAAAAATATACTCAGAAAATCTAATGACTTAAGTTTTCATAATAAAATGTATAGAAATCATGAAATATATAAGAAACAAATCAGTAATTATCCTTATTAAACTGCTTATGCTTTCTTCTAGTTTTTTTCTAGAGGTACTTAGAGAGCAGGTATAGTATTACAAATCATTTCAAACTTTTTTCATATAACAACATTTTGTGACGACAAAAAGTCTATATATTTTAATGGCCCAAAAATAGTCTGTTTACAGAGGAATTTCGTCATTCCCTTACATAGGATTTGTTCTCCCAGACTACCACTGTTATCAGTAATGTTGCACACAACCTTTGGTTGTATATCTGACTGTTATGGGATAGGTTCCTTGAAGAAAAATTGCTTAAGTTACAAGTCTCTTAATATCTTAAATCTCTCTTTTGGGGGATTTGGTGGTTCTTGGGGGACTACTCACTGCTATGTGCTTGGGATCACTTCTGGAGGTGCTCAGGGGACCTCGTGATGTTGGGGATCAGACCTGAGCCGCCTGCACACAAAGCATCACCCAACTATTTGAGCCGTCGTCCCCTGGCCTCAAGATCTTAATTAAGACAGCAAACACAAGCACTGAATTTTCATGTTTTCATGGGCGAAACAATGTAATTTTTAGGTGTAATAGCTCTCCTTATAAAAAAAAAAGCATTCTCATTTTTATGTTACAAGCTTTTCATCTTCAGAAACCATGTTTACTTTGTCATGTTACTTATAATTAAGCATAAATGGATTTAATTTAATAAGGGAATGTCCTTTGTATAAATTTACTTCAGTCAGAACTAACTTAATCATAGTTAAAGTGGAATTACTGTCAACTGTTATCTGAGGGTCAGATTAATGATCATTGGTGGTGGGAATCTCTACTTAAAGGCATGTGTTGTGTGAGGGAAAAGAACCCAAGAACTGGAGAGTGACATTGGTGGACTTCAGAAAGCACACGCATCCACTTACACACATGGCACATGCGCACACATGCACGCACACACACATGTATGTTTCTACATGTATGCTGGTGCCAGAGGTTCAAATAGTTCTGCCCTAAAACTCTTGAGCATACTCAGTTCATTTGACCACCCTCCCCCACCCCCAGATAAGCAAGAGGTGTCTTCTATATAAAATTATCAACATTGTTTTAACTCCATGACTTGAATCCATGGAAAGTGTTTAGAGCTTCTGTTCTTGACTGTGACCCAGGACTATTTTCCTAAATGATCTCAACCATGGTAAGTTAAGATTTAGGAATTGCAGACGTATGTTTTCCTATACTGGTTACCAGATCGCAACTTTAAGAGTGGCCTGGGAAAACCCACTGGAAATGCAAATTGTCTTTTTTTTCTCACCCCAGGCTGCCTGAATCCGAGTCTACAGAATCGGTGCTTGAAAGAGACACTCTATATGTATGGTTTGCCCAAGCAGTCTAGCCCTGAATTGGATATTCCAGTCAAAACAGAAGCCTGTATTTGAGCTTTTTTTTTAAATGCAAAATGAATAGACAGGCAGCACCTAATTATCTTGGTGGCTCTCTCCTATCTGCTGCATACCTCCCATTGACAGGCCAAGAGCACTGCCCACTGGTATTTGGCTGGATCATCAAAGACAGGCATTTTGCCTCCTTTTCTTTTTTCTTTTTGCGTCACGCCCAGCATGATCAGGGACTAGGGATCATACCCAGCAATGCTCAGGAGTTACTCCTGGCTCTTTCCTCAGGAATTACTCCTGGCAGTGCTCCTGGGTTGCCGGGGATCAAACCCAGTTCAGCTACATGCAAGGCAGATGTCCTCTACTATCACGCTGTACTATCACTCTGCTCCTGACATTTCACCTCCTTTTGCACTTGAACAAACTTGCAGCCAGCACCAAATACGGATACCCACATCCAAAAGTTTCTCTTCAGTTTGAGCTGCAGCTCTTATTTATTGAAAGAGCTCGTCTTCATTTTATTAATGACACGATGATGACAGCTACCATTTGGCAAGTAATATTATACACCAAACCGTGTGCTGGGCTCTTTATAGAAATTATTTCTGCCAGTGCATTAAGGTGAATATCACGCCTGAGATCACCAAAGCCAGAGAGGTTGACTAAAGAGCCCCCAGAAAGACACAACTAGAAAATAGCCCCAGCTGGACTCCAGCCCAGTGTCCATTTAGCCTCCAAGGCCCCTGCACTTAGGAGAGCTTTCTTGTATGCAGCATCTCTTGTTGACTTGTGGCTTGATGAACTTCGGGCTCCTCGGAAGAGTTCTACAGTTCGCCCAGATTCCTCCTATCTACATAAGGTTGAAAAGGCCCCATGAGAGCTTTCGTTCTATAGTTGCTGCTGTAGCAGCTGCATGGGTTCCCCACACCTGCCCTCCACAAGGATTGTGTTAACTGGAGAACCCTGCGCTGTGGCCAGCCCAGCCATGTGCTGTCTGAGGGCCCTGCTGACCCTCCAGACTTGGAGCCGGGGAGCCTGTTTGTAGCTGAGGCAGAACTCAGCTCCATACCATTCAAGAGCAGAGATTGCCCCCGAAGACGCTTTCCTCTTAGGCCTCACGCACCATGTTTCTTCCCATAAAGTATGATCCTACTGCTCATGGCATCAGGACTAGAGAATTGTAAAATGGCCCTTTCATTGTCTTATCTTTGAAGTCTAGGCTGGTGTGATCTTCCAGTTCTTACTTGTTTGCTTGGATTTTTTTTTGTTTTGTTTTGTTTTGTTTTGTTTTTGCAGTGCCAGGGGTTGGACCCAGGGTCTCATACTTGCGAGGCTTCTGCTTCACCACTGAGCCATGTCCCCAGCCCAGACTATAAGTGATTTTTCTAGACTGATGGGGGAAGTGGGCATGGTTCGGGGGATGGTTTTGTACCTAGGACCTTAAACTCAGGATCTGAAACTGTGCTTTCCTTCTCTCCCACTCTCTAGTACTTTTTCCAGATTCATTAATTTCGGTGGTAGGTTGGATTTTGTTTCCTTTTTTTTTTTTTAATGCTCTTACTTGGCCTACTTGAAAGTGCAGCCTTGTTTTCCAGATCCTTTTGTCATCTCTTTCCAGTCTGATAATTGCTTGATTCTGGCTGCGTGTTCTTCCTCTGGCGACACTGTGATGTTTGCACCACTCCAGGCCTTGCCCTGCAGAATCTCCTCTGCTTTTCTTCCCAAGCATTTCTGCAGCCTGGCCTGGGTTCTTCTCATTTCCTTCTTTCCATCTTCTAGACATTGGCCCCAAATTTGTGGCCAGTCCTTTCTTGCCAACAGAGTGCAGGAATGTCCTAACTCTTGTCCACAATGCATGGCATTATTAGTTTCATGGGTGGTCTATGCACTAGTCTTCTATACCAGCTGCATGAGGCTTGTAAGTGTGTTGAGTGAACTGTTCTATCAAAGGAGCCAGAGACAAAACAGTGACGAGTAATTATTGGAAAAAGAAGTTAGCAATTGTGCTTGTAAAGTCTGTGACAGTAAAGTTTTCTATTTATGTAAATGTGACTGCTATTATCCATTTAAAAATATATATACATATATAAAAAACACTATCCTTTAAGCGGATACGGACTTTGACCATTTTTTTCCTTCCTTTTCCCCCAATGTACTTATAGGTGGTACAGGGTGCTTTTAAAAGGAATCCTCACCAATGGACTGGTGTCTGTGTATGAGCTGGACTATGGCAAACACGAATTGGTCAACATAAGAAAAGTACAGCCCCTCGTGGACATGTTCCGAAAGCTGCCTTTTCAAGCAGTCACAGCTCAACTTGCAGGTAATTGCGTTGGAGTTGAGGCCACACTTGATTGCTCTTTTATCCTGGCTACTTCCCAGGTCCCCCAAATCGTTGATCTCTTGATCTTATGCTTTCCTTCCTCCGCCACCCACCCACCATACCACCACCACAGACAACTTCCTGGCCATACTGAGAAGAAATCTGCAACCAAGTAGACAAATCAAAACAGATTGAAAACAGTCGAGGCAATCTAATACCCATCGGAACATTGCACAAGAACAATTTCATCATTTTTCACAAATCCGAATACATCTGCAGAGTTGAGGGTTCCCCATTGTAAGACACACCCGTCACTGATGATGACCGTGCTCTTGGCCAAGGGCCTTTCCTGTCGCAGTGCAGCTGAGGGCGGACAGGCACGTGACTTCCCACCTCACACCAGCCTGTTGACTTACCTTGAAAGCCTGAGCTACTGATCTCATAGGTGTCCATTCGGTAGTGCTTGTGTGTAACGTGGCCTGGTGAGATTGCCATTTCGTAGCACCATGGTTGGTGGTCCTGCTGTTTATCTCCCCTTAGGGAGCACGAGCAGTTAGAGGCAGTGCCAGCCAGGGGCCTGTCCTCCTGTGCAGAGGGTGCAGAGGTCAGAGAGATTAAGGGGTGAAGCCCCCTCTATCAGAGGGAAGGGGGAGTCTCTCTCTCATGTCCCCTCTGCTGGATGAGGAAGAGTTGAGACCACATGGAGTCACTTGGACTTCTCACCCCTCCCATTCTGTCCACCTAGCATGGTGGCTGAAGTGACCGGATCTCAGCAGTGAGGGAAATTTGACATACAAATTCTTTCACTACTTACCAGCTTTTATGGGGAGACACGATGTTGACCTTACTGTGGTGTATCTGCCAGTTTCCTTGTCTCTCACTGGAATTGAAAAGAAATTGCCGTGGTGGTTGGTTATGAACCAGAAATGGCATTTGGCATATAGACTGGCTCACCAGTGATCTCCTTGGAATGCAGACCTTTAAGTCTTTAAGTGGTTTGTTTCTTCTGAGAGGACATTTACTTTTTTATTTTCCCACTTCCCCTTTTCAGTGTCAGGTTTTGCTAACAACATGTTTTGTTAAACATGACGGTTCAGCTGCCCAAAGAAGGAGTCTGTGAGGCATGAGACATGGCACTCCCTACTCTGCAACCCGTGGTGGCTGGCACTCACTGGTTCTGGCTGTGGGTGAGGGACTCTGCCAGGAGTCCTTGACTTACTTCTTCCCGTGCTTGGAGGCTTAGGCGCTGTTCTCGCCACTTCCACACATCTCAGGGAACGGTGGCTTGAGAAGTTCAAGTAACATGCCCAAAACCCCACACTGTTCACCCCAGAGCACCTCGGTCTTTACTGCTGTGCTCTCTCCTTGGTGTGGCAAATGGGGTATTGCAGAAGGAATGTCTGGATGTAAGTCCCATTACCTTCCCAGCCCACCTTATGGGTAAAATAAACCTTCCATCCTGCCTTACTTTAATGTCATCGAATCCATAAAATGGATCAGAGGAGAGGGAATTTGAGATCACCTTGGAAACTCAAAGCATGTGGCACAATTGCATCAGTGTTTCCCGGACACTCAAGTCTCAGTTTGGCTGTTGGCTCTCTTCTGGGACTTCACCCTCCACTGGGTTTACCTTACCCTTCTCACCTGCTGTGCTTTCTTGCCTAGCACTAAGTGACTTAACGTCACAAAACACAAATTCATAACTTCTCTCGGAGGGAGGATCCCTTCTTTGTCTAACTGAGATCACAAAAATAAGCTCTGATGCTACCGGAGAGTAAATGTGAGGGTGAGTGTGTGTCTGTTCCAACAGTCACCCACCAGAGAAAGGAGTAACATCACCCCTAAAGTCTCCGGTTCTGACTAATGGCCTTTGGATTCATCACTTTGGTAGACTGAGCTCACGTTCAGTCCCCACCAGGAACTTGGTACCCTACCCCTCTGGTTCTCTTGGTCCAGAGAAACTGTGGACTCCACCAGCTGCCCTGAGTGTAAATCAGGGCCTAAGGCTTCTTGAGCAGTTCTTTGTTCTTCAGGCACTCTGAGAGGGTGATGCATCTGCTGGGGGCCCCCTGCATGCTCGCCTCCCCCGCCCCCAGGTCCCAGTAAGTTGTTACTTGTGACCTTGCCAACGGCTCCCTCATGTCTGTGGGAATAGCATTTGGTACTGTACTGTTTGTAGGTCCAGAGGTAAGGGAGCCACTTGGGGGCCCTCTCTACCTGGTGATGAAGTTCTGTAGAAGAGCTGCAGCTTCCTTTTCCCTTCTAAAATAATGTGACCATTTCTGATTGTCAGAGTTGTTGGAAATAAAATGAGACTTCTGGGCTTCTTGTGCGGGAAGTTCCTGAATAATCAAAGAATTCTGTCCACTCATTATATAGATTTACATCTGACCTTTCAGATTCTCTGTGAAATTCTCAGACCTTCATCACAATAAGATATCATTTATACTGAGTTTAATCTAGTGTATGTGGACTTAATTTAGACCAGTTTTATAGTAATTTTTGAAAAAATACTTTTTCTTACCAGAGATGTGGGTTCAGTTCCTGGCTCTACATAATCCCTCACTCATCCCTGAGCATGGCCAGTTATAATCCATTCCCTCAAAAAAAGAGAAAGAAAATGACACATCTTTGTCTTGGTTTTTTTAAAAAACCAAAGTTAGAATTATCTGACTTGAGCTCTCAAATTTAAAAATTACGGGTATGTAGAAATGCATGAAGCTTCAATTACCTGTGTAATTTCTTTTGTGATAAGTAATTCATGGTCTGAGAGATAAACTGATTGACCCAAAATCACATCACTCAGTAGAGAAAAAGCTGAGTTCCTAAGCTGTCAATCCATGGCCTTTTATCATGTTGTCATAGATAATTTCAAAAAGCCACTATATTGTAAGTCTGTTAACCTTTAAGTAAGAGACATGTCTGATATTGTATTCCTATCCATTACTAGTTTTAAAATATATGTACACATGTAAGTATGTATAATATATGTGTGTATGTATAGATACACACATATATGTGTAGTGTACAAGAATGGGTGGCAGTTCTTAATAGATCATGAAATCTCAGTCAGAATGTGTGTGGAGAAGGGCTTATGAAATAGGCCTATTGTAGAGAAACTGTGCTTTCACGGGGCTATTTTCTGACCGTTGAGCTTCTTTTCCTGAGGCCCTTGTACCCCAGTGAGGAGCCAAGACTACTTGGAGTTAACCAGACTTTCCCATTATAGTGAACCAAAGAAATCCTCACTGGATCCCTCACTGGCGCCCGTGTGCCCCACTTTTGTCTTCTAGGAGTGAAATGCCACCAGTGGTCTGAGGAGGCGTCTATGGTGTTTCGGAATCATGTGGAGAAGAAGCCTCTGGTGGCATTGGTGCAGTCAGTCATGGAGAACGCTAACCCGTGGGACCGGAAAGCTGTGGTCTATTTAGTGGACACATCGCTGCCAGACATAGATATCTGGATTCATGATTTTATGTCGGAGTATCTGGTGGAGCTTTCCAAAGTTAATTAATCACTGCTTCTGGAGACCTTGACAACTAATTCAGATTTTGTAGCAATAACAAAATGTAGTAGGCTTTAAAAAAAAATCTTATCTCTGCTACGTGGCTCTGACTGCTGGGTCATGGAAAAGAATATGCTTATGTTGGATGAAAGATATTTAACAAGTTTTGTTTTAACAGAGTTGACTTTTCAAAGGAAAATTGCACTTGAATTATTACTATAATATTAGAATAAAAATGTTTATCAATAAAAAGCTGACTGCCTTCTACTTTCTAGGCTCTATGATTTTAAGATTAAGAGTTTTCTCCCCTAGGGGCCGGTGCGATAGCACAGCGGGTAGGGTGTTTGCCTTGCACGCAGCCGAACTGGGTTTGATCCCTGGCATCCCATATGGTCCCCCAAGCACTGCCAGGAGTAATTCCTGAGTGCAGAGCCAGGAATAACCCCTGAGCATCGCTGGGTGTGACCCCCCCCCCAAAAAAAGTTTTCCTCTCTAGTGCTGCTGTTTTACTTGAAAGCATGCTGGGGCGGGGTGGGGGGGGCGACGGGAGGGTCTTTATGTAGATTGAGAACTTCATGACAACTTGAGCAGGTGTAGTGGGGCGGGTCCCAGGGCAAGTGGTCACCCAACCATGTTCAGATTGCCCCTGAGTCTTCGGCACACCAGCTTGGCGGGTGGTGTAGGCCAGTGGAGCTTCCCAGGCCAGCTAGCACCCACTCTTCTCCTCAAATCTTGAGCAATTTCTTGTTGTCCAGACCAAAGACCCAGGCCTTCCACAATCTTCCCACTCACATCCACTGTCCATCACTCCCCACTCCAGCCAACCTAGACCTTTCTCTGGCCCCTGCACTCCAGGCATATTCAACTAAGACAGCTGAGATTCCAGAGCAAGGCTTGCTCTTCTGCAATTTATGCTGATTCTGTTTCTGTAGCCTGCAAGTCATCCTCACCACCACCACCCCCTTTCCACCATTTCTGATCGCCATTATCCTCCCTGAAACCTTTGTTGACTTTGACGCCTTCCTGATGTGCTTTGATTGTGCTTTGAGTTTGCCTTTCTTGGTACCCAGATCAAACTTTATAAAATATAACTAGCCTGGCATCAATCTCCCTGACTATATTGCAAGTCTCCTGAGTAGAGAGGGTGAGTGTTCTTAGTGATCTCCTGATAAATATTTAGCAGCTGGTTCTCAGTGTAAGTAGGTAGGAGGGACCTTGAGTTATGATGGTGGAGTCATAGCTGACATCCCTGGATGTGGAGTTGGGAAGGCGCTCGAGTGCCTCTGGTGAATTCTCACAATGGACTCTACAACTGGTCTGTGGCCTTCCCAAGGGACAGCGTATCTTGCCCAAATCACTGTCAGGAATGATCCCTGAATGCAGAAATAGGTGTAAGCCCTGAGCACCACTGGGTGTGGCCAAAAAAAAAACTGATTCAAAATTCAGCAATGCTTATGTCCATGATTTACATAATTTAAAATACAATGAAATATCCTGGCACAAATGCTAAAGTGAAATGAAATGTTTTTATAATGGTTTCTTTCCAACAAAACAAAAATCCTCAAATTATCCACAGATAAGGAAAAAGAGTTTTCTATTTTATGGGTTTTGGAAGCATATCCTTTTAAGAGTAGAACAGTTAACTGTATCATTGATATAACAGTGGTTTCCAAACATATTTGATCTACCATACTCTTTTCAAAAGTCACTCAGCAAACACTGGGAACTCTACCTTCTTTCCATGAGCAATACAAAGCACCCTTTCTGCACCCCACCAAGGCTGCTGCTACACCTTGAGGTGGTTCTAGTGGCCCAGGGAGTGGCATCATCCACTTCAGGAAAACCAGATGTAACTAAAACCTAATTGCTTGAATAATTTTGTAGACAAAAAACAGGAAGGGCTAATGGCAGATAACACAGGAAAAAGCCTTATCCTGCAGAAATGGGATTTTTTCCCAAAAATGATAAATTATAAAGGAGAGATTGATATCCTTAATACACTAAAATCAAGAAAACCTTACAAGACATTACAAAAGTGGAAGGACAAAGCACTGAGTGGACAACTACGGTTGTGCAGTGTGTGTGTGTGTAAAATATATCGAATATATTCAATGAGACTATCCATGAGCAAAGTGGGTAATAGATTTAACAAACATTTCCCAAAAAAGTAGAAGTTGTAGCAGGCCAGCGAAAAGGGCTGGGCCCATTAGAACATAGAGAAATGCGACTTCAAACCCCATGAGATGCCATCGCGCGTGTCCCAGGATAGTGAGAATAAACCCATTTGGCTTCATTCCAAGTGCTGAGAGTGCACCTGTGCAGTTTACTGGTGAAGACGTGACAGCAACACTAGAAGAACTACAACCTAGAAATAACCTCGGTGTCCTTTAATACTAAGAGTTCTTTTAAAGCTGGCCTATCGGTGCAGTGGAAAACTACTGCGGTGAGAGTAAACACAACAGCCACATGAAACTGTGAGTTAATCTCACACATGGGGTTCAACTCAGTGTGGAAGACAGAAGTAAGGGAGACTCCAGGGACTCCCTGAGAGTCAAGAGAGGTGCCTTGAGAAGGGACTTGTGGTCCAGAAGGCTAGCCACACAGGCTGGCTTCTTGGCTAGGGATGTCACTTGACATTGGTGGTCAGGGTAGATGTTCATGCTATAATTTTTTTTTAAATAAAACTCTTGAGCTAGAGAGAGTACAGGGACTAAGGCACTTGCGTCACATGCAGCCAAACTGGGTTGGATCTCCAGCACCCTTGTGTTCCCCTGACCACCACTGGGAGTGATCCTTGAGCATAGAGCCGGAGTAAGCACTGGGTACTGTCAGGTGTGGCTCCCAACAAAAACAACTGAAACAAAGCGATAGGAAATCAGGCAGGGCATTTGCCTTGTACACAGTGAAACTGACTCAATGCCGGGCACCCCATATGGTCTCCTGAGCCCCACCAAAAGCTATTTCTGAGTGCAGAGCAAGGAGCAAGCTCTGAGCACCGGCAGTGAGGGCCCCTCCCCCCAACAAACAAAAAATCTTGAAGCTGTAAATTGTGTTGCATGCCCTTGAATGTTTGATTCCACCACAAGCATGTTTGAAATTCAAAGCCATCAGAGGGTTAAAGATTTGATTTATTTAAAAATCATGACAATGATATGTTATTTTAAGATAAGACAAGTACACCAAACTCCTACATAAAGATGGCACAAATCCCCATCACAATTGTCCTCCCGTTGTTCATTGATTTTCTCGAGCGGGCCCAGTAATGTCTCCTTCATGAGACTTTGTTGTTACTGTGTTTGGCATATCGAATACATCACGGGGAGCTTGCCACGCTTTGGCAAGTTTTTTTTTTTTTTTTTTTTTTTTTGCCGTGCGGGCGAGATACTCTCGGTAGCTTGCCGGGCTCTCTGAGAGGGGCAGAGGAATCGAACTCAGGTCGGCCATGTTGGCTGCGAGCAAGGCAAACGCCCCACCGCTGTGCTATCACTCCAGCCCCACAGTAACAACAAAGTCTCCAATGGAGATGTTACTGGGACCATCACAATAATCTCTCTCAATGTCAATGGACTAAATGCACCAATCAAAAGGCACAGAATGGCAAATGGATTAGAAAATTGAACCCAACATTCTGCTACCTGTAAAAATCATGATGGGGGGGCTGGAGAAATAGTATCAAAGTTAAGGACTTGCCTTATTTACAGTGCCCCCCTACACCATATGTGGGGCACCACATATGGTGACATATGGTGATCCCTGAGGATGGGAGCCAGGAGTAAACCATGAGCAACCTTCCAACCCCAATAAGTAAAATAAAAATCTGTGACATACGCACCAGTGAAAATGGTGCATATGTCACAGAAAATGGTGCACATGAGCACCCTTTTAACTAACTTGCCAGGAGTGTTGAAGAAAGACATTTGCACACACACACACACACACACACACACAAAAGGTTTTGATTTTATTTTTTAAAAGAGTGTTTTTTCATTAGTAATCCATGCACCAGGAATACAATTTATTTTTTCTTAGGTCTACCCAGCCAGAAACGTTTCCAAAATACGTCAAACGAGATCTTGCCCTCCGTCGATGCAATTTCCTTTTTATAAGCCTTAAAATTTTTTTTTATTATTATTATTGAATCACTGTGAGATAGACCCTTACAAAGCTGTTCATGATTAGATTTCAGTCATACAGTATTCCAACACCCATCTCTCCACCAGTGTACATTTCCCAGCACCAGTGTCCCCAGGTTCCCTCCCATCACCCCCCACCCACCCACCCACCCCCCAGCCTGCCTGTATGGCGGGCGCTTTCTTCTGTCTCTGTCTCTCTGTTATGAACCTTTTTGAAAAATTAAAGTTTTTATTTGGGTATGAGTAATTAATTTCTGGGAAAACCTTTTAAGAAAGGGGAGCTATATATATCTATGTGTGTGTATATATATATCTATATAGAGAGATAGATATAGACATATACGCTGCGGTTATTTTCCATTGCTATTTCGGACTCTCCCTTCTGTCGGCACCGGGAATTCATCGGATCCGCCTGCAACTAAGGTGATGCCCGCGCGGGGGCCGGGCTCGGCGGAAGATGCTGGGGCGGACCGAGCGGGCTCGGGGGGAGGCGGCGGGGCGGCGGGCGGGCGCGGGCCGAGGGGGCGCTGTCCGGAGCGCGCGCGCGTGCCCCCGGCCCGCGGGGAGGGGAGCGGTGCCCGCGGCGGCCCCCGGGGCGGGGCGGGGCGGGGCGGGGCGCGGCGGCCGCGCAGAGCCGGGCCCGCCCCCGGCTCCCACCCCCGGAGCCCACAGCGCCCGCCCGGCCGCCCGGGAGCCCGTCCAGCCCCGCGCCGCGCCCGCCCCGCGCCCGTCCCGCGCCCGCTCCACGGCCCGGTAAGCCCCCCGCGCCCGCGCCCGCGCCGGCCTGGGGTCGCCCTGCCCCCCGCGCCGGGGGCCCCCCGGCCATATCTGGGCAAAATATTCAGCTGTCGCCGCCGCCGACAGGGACCGAGCTGCGGCTCCCTCTATAAATAGCCGCCGCCTCGGGGGGCCGCGGGGCGCCCTGCCCCGGGGAGCCCCCCGCCCCGCCCGCCGGGCTCCGCACCGCGCGGGGGAGCGGGACGCGCGCCTGGGGGCTGGGGGCGCGGCCGCCAGCCCCGCGCGGAGCCGCAGCAAAAGTTTCCCCGAACTGCGGGAGCTTCTCCCGGCGCGGCGAGGCGCGCGCGGGGAGCCTCGGGGATGCGGGGCAGGAGCACCCCCCAGCC